TGTTTACAGTTCAAGATGCCAAGTCAGACATTAAAAGGAGTTGAAAGAGGATCAACAGTCTCTGGCAAGAACAGGGGTTCTTCTTTTGCCTTTCTTTCATCACAGGATGAATGACCTTGCAAACAATAGCAGGGTTGTAATTTATGATGGCACATGTTCATAGCGCCAAAGAGAAGTGAACCTAAATGACGCATGATCTGCAATCACTGGTTTGGATATCAAGAGGTTACCTCAGGGTAACAAACCTAAGATGATAACCCCTGTGTCTTGATTGTTGAGTGAGGGCCATGTTTATAGTTCTGTTACACACCAGATATGCTATCATATCATCAGTGCCTTCATTCAAGGAAAAAGTTATGCCCCATGATTAGAATACACCATTATATTTATTTTCCTGTGTCTTCTATGGAGATTTTTTTCAACTGGTTTCTCAGTGGAAAAGAGAATTTTAAAATGTGAAGGTAAATGTATGCTTTCAATATGCATAATTTCTGAGCTTGGAAAATTAATTTGAAACACATATTTACACACATGAACACACACATGATGCCAAAGGCTGTATCACATTTGTGCACATTTGAATGGGCACACATGTATAAATCCATACACACCCATGGTTATCTTTTTGGGAAATACTCATAGTTGACTTTCCACATTTGTGGGCTTAAAATTTGTCAATTTAATTATACACATATTTGATTCATATGTATTCTTTAAGAAAGTCTAAAGACTTCAGAGTGGCTTTATGGTCAACTTCTGTCAAAATTATGCTGGAGGAGCTAGAGATTCTAGAAAGAACACTTCTCTAGCAATTTCTAGGTTCTCCAGTGTGCTTTTGAGGTCAACCACTAATAAAACGTGAAGAGAAAGTCAGCCTTGAGGACCTAGAGATTCCTAAAGATGTGTTATCACAGACCCCCTCCCCATAAGGGAGAATATCTGTTGTTTGCTCCTTGTATGTGGGTTCTGCACTCCTAACCCCCATGAAAGTGTGTGTGGGTGTCCTGCATTATTTTCTCCAAGAGTCTGATTTATATAAAATGTAAATGAACTTAGCACTATGAGTATAAGCTATTTGATTACCTCCTCCTCACAAACAAGGAGATAAAATTACACTTTTTTCATACAGATAATTGTGCACCTTTCGGATATTAGCATTTTAGGAAGTTTTGAGTGAGAAAATTGTGCAGTTTTCTTATGTTTTTGTACAAAATAATGCAACTGAGGTCCTGCATCATCAACATATGGTAACTACCTTGACAGAGCTCCATCACTGTGTATTCAATTGGCAATGCCCTCCTAAATCCTACCTTAGCAACCTAGCAGTGTCTCAGCTGGTTAGACCACTTGGAGTACTGCCACAACTGGACCTGGCCCCATAAACCAGCACCCCATGACTAGGAGGTCACTATGGACATCATTTTCCATATCTCTGATCTCAAGTACATTAGAAATGCTTTGGTTGGATTGCTGTCTAGCAGTTATGACATCACAAGACCACTTTAAGATATTGTAACTGCTGAATAGGATGCAAGCCCATATTTCTTTACCACCCAGGGCTTTAATGGCCCCTAGCATCAATATACCTGATTCCCTCCAAAATTCCATGTTCATATACAGACATCACTTTCATGTACACACGAATCAATCAGTTGCGTGATGATGACCAATGCAGTCAGATTTTGCAAATATGAATTCCATATCTTCACTCACTTCAGTGATGTGCAAAAATATTGAAAAGAGGTCAGATCCACTGCATAGGCAATTATGGCAATTTTCAAAATTAAAATACATTTCCTGGTTGTGGGAGGAAGATTTAATCCTACATATCTATGGGGGATACATTCCTGGCCTTTGCGTGGATATGGAAAGCCACAGATAATAGCAAACTCTATTGAAATGAAGTACTTTCAGATCAATAATACCACAGAGTCATACTTAGGACCTAAAATGCCTGGGGAAGACATATTTTGATGAACATGAATATATGAAACCACACATACTAGTCTTATGGATATGTGGGTCACACTATACATGCTTTGTACTTATGCATGTGGCTTCTAAACCCTGGTATTATTTATGGCATCATTTCTGAGTTGGCAGGCTTGCTTCATGCACTCCACCATCATTTTGTTTTGTGTGGGGAATAGATCCTTCCAGTAATAATGTGTCCCCATGGATCTAATTATAAGAGATATGCACACGGCACGCTGATAGCATAGGGGATATCTGAAGTGTGCAGGTTCATTTCTTTGTTCTTCATAATAGCTGTGCTTACTAAGAAGGCTCAAAGCTCATTTACTAAGTTCATCCAAATAAGTTATTCACTGGATCAGCAACAACAATTGTGAGTCTCTATTGGAAATCTGCACATTACCAAGGGAGGCATCATTAAAATATCATCTCCCACGCCACCCTCTAAATAAAGCTAAGCTCTTTTGCTGAGCAGGCAGTACACAAAGAAGGCTTTCTGTTGCTAGCCAAGGACAGAGTTTGACAAATCTTGTTAATATTCTCATATTGTTCAGTTACTGAAAGTGGCAAAAAAGGAGCCACTCTGGAAAGACATGACTTGCTTTGGAATGCTTCATCTATGTTTTTCTTATTCTATTTATTTGTATTTATATTAATATGGGCCCTGAATGGAGTGCAGATGTCAAGGATTAAAACAACCAAGTGTCCTGTTTATTTAAGCTCCCTGAGAAACTATCCCTTGAGGAACTAGTTACAGTTTGAAAGGACTACATGAATCATCTACTCCACTCCCACCCCTCACCATCCACAACATACAACTAAAGCACTAGTAAAAGATGCCCCTCCAATCTCTGTTTAGAGGCCTCCAAAGATGGCGAGTTGGCAACCATCTGAGGCAATCCATTCTAATGTAGAACGGTTCTTACAGTAAGGACATTCTTCCTAATATTTAGGTGGAACTTCTTCATATAATTTGAATCCATCTTCTACATGACAAACCATCAGATACTTAAAGATAGTTGAAAATCTGGCCAAATGTCATGTAGTTGTACCAATCAGAAGTGTTTAAGTTTACAGCCATTGTTGTCAACTTTAACTTACGGTGATTCTATGAATGAGAAACCTTCAAGCCACCCTATCCTTAATGGCCTTGTTCAGGTCTTGCAGACTTGGCCATGGCTTCCTTGATTGAGTATATCCATCTGGAATGTGGTCTTCCCCTTTTCCTACTGCCGGCTACCTTATCAAGCTATTGCATCCACTTGAAAACAATAGTACCCGTGCCTCCTGCAAGTTTACTGAGTCATAAGTAAATTGGGGTCATAAGTATATTTACATTTACAGAAAACCTTGTGTGAAGGAGCACTAGTTGTCTTAAAAAAAACTATAAAAGCAGTCTGGTGGCTTTTATGTCTGTGGGGTGATGACTTCATTTTGAGTTTGTGTATATGCTTAACAAATTTGCCTGTGTGACTTGAGTGGAGCTGAATAATCATGATTCTTAGAATGCTGAGGGAAATAGGGGCAAAGAGAGAACATATAGAAGGAGAGGCTTGGCTGTTCACAAACTGGAGGCAGAGTCAAGATCAAAATAGAGATTTAGTGGGAACTGATGGGATCATATAAAGAGGTGAATAGGAAGACCATGTAAGGAGTTGAGTAAGGGCTTAAGGGGAAAACTTTTAAATAGATAGTAGAGTGATACTGAAATAAACACAGGGTCAACTTACATGCTGCTTGAAGTTTGAATCTTTTCTTCTGAAATAAATCTTCCTTCTTATATCAGTTTACATCTCTATCTAGAAGCCTGTTATAAAAGGAGTTACAGGGTTCAGCAATTACTATCACAAGTTCAGCAGAAAACAGATTTGGCTGTTCAGTTTTATAGTCAGTTGCTAAACCCAGTGAATGGATTGTGGGGGCTAAGTGCATGATAGGATCCCAAATAGAAGTTTTTAGGTCAGCAACCTGAGGAGGAAAACTATCATGTGGCTTTATTCTGAACTATGGGATAGATAGTGTTTGGTACCTTGAGAAGTTCCTTTAAAACAAAAATCTGCAGTGAATTCACATCTCCACTAATTCAGAGCCTTCATCACAAACCTATAAATATAATCAACTTTCATATTAGGTCCACTGGAAATTAAACAATTTCAAAACCATACTGGAAAATTATCTATTTTCCTTTATTTTTATTTAGTCTCAGGGTGAGCAAAACTACCTGAGGCAAACAACAAGATGGCATATCCTGCCCCAAGCCACTTACCACAATACAAGCCCCAAAACTTTATATTAGCAAAGCTGATGGTTAACTTTAGGTGGTGTGCTAATCAATTGAAACCAACATTGGTAGTATGACCTCTTGGCCAGTGAACATAACACACGAACACACAATCTTCTCTGATTAAGGAGATTTGAGAAGATCTAATACTGTGGGCCCTTAGTATCCTATCAGCTAAGGTTTGGAAACAAGATCCTCCATGGATACCAAAATCTATGCTCAAGTCTCATTATATACAATGGCATGGTTAAATTGTGATCCCCAAATAAAATGGCAAAAACAAGGTTTGCTTTTAAGGGTATTTTGTTTAGTATTTTCGAACAGAAGATAATTGAATCCATGCATACAGAATCTATGGATAGGGAGAACCAACTATATAGAGAGTACCCTTCCTCTCTAAAGTTTCCTTCCTTAAAATGTGGGTGGGGAATCTACTTCCACAAAGTAACAGAAAATAGTTTCAAACATTTTTTTTTCATTTGTAAACAAGAGAAAACAATTTGCAACATAGGAGAGACACAGTAGTTTCAAATCTGTTGATTTTATCTACTTTTTTGTTCATTTCTGCATTAAAAGTATCAGCTTTTGCTTGATTAAGAGATATTAGCATAACATATACACTTAAAATAGTTAGCTGCACATGTTTTGTAATGTGATTTCTAAAACTTGCCAGGAAGAGCTTGGTACAAATGTCAATCCACCTCCATTGTTACCTTAAAGTGCAGCCTTCCCCATAGCAACCAGAAACTTTTCGAAGCAGAAATAAACTAATCCTCTTCAGCTTGCGAAGCACCATCAAGGAATTTTAAAAACATTGGACTTCCCGGCAGCAAAACACTCTGTGGGATTCAAAAGACCGGAGAGTCAAAGGTATACAATCCTCCCCCTCCCCCTTCACAGAAGGTAAGAGGAAAGAATGCAAAAGTGAGGTTTCCTTCTCATCCTTCTTCCTATTGCTAACTTCTTTCTTAACATTGGGCTTACTTTCAAAGTATTTCAAAGCATTTTTTAAACCATCACAGGCTCCACACAGTGCTAACATTTCATTTGATTGTAGGCCAAGTGCTGCTTTGGCAGACTTTCATTACCTTGTTTTTTTTTTTTTTGTTTTTTTTTCACAGCCTCTTAGCTTAGCTTTATTAAGCAAGAAAACCTACATTTGTTTACAGGTCTGATGCGTGAACTGGATACCAAACATGGATGCTGTACAGATGCTGATTTCTAAGATTTTTTAATGTAAAATAGGTGACACTTCCTAACCAAAATAAGTACGGTAGTTTGCATTTTCATCTGGCAGCGATACTGTAATGGGATAGAGGGCAGGTTCGGTAATAATGTCTCTGTAGCATCCTCAAATAAATTCGGTGTATGTTGTATTGTTTGAATTGTCATCAGTTAACTTTGACATTAAGTTTAGGGGGGGGCAGGATGATATCTTTGCATGGTGTTACTTTCAGCAAGGCAATAAAATTATTACATATATTATAAAATGAATATCAAAACAAACAGAAACAGACCAGCAGAAAAATGATCCTGCAGATATGCAATGGCATGACAACGTTAGTAGTAATATTAACAGCTTCGCTTGCCATTTAAGTTGTTGAGGCATTTTCCATTTTCCCCAAATATCCTCTTATGACAAATCATTGTGTATTGCTGAAAAAAGCTGTCCCATCCCCACTCCTCTAAAGCTTTTTTGGACCAAAGTAAAGAAAGGGATGGGAAAATGTTATTTCTAGTAATTTCTTGAACTTTGCAATTTTGTGAGAGAGGGGGGACATTTAAACTGCAATAGCTGCAAAGATTGTCATTTTCTACACATGCAGCAGAATGTTGTGGTATTTTCAATTGTACAAGATGATCCCTATGTATTTTCAAACACAAAAATCAATAGAAAAAAGCAGGGATAGAACTGTTTCCCCCAGTTTTCTTACTTCTCTTCCTTCCACAATGCAGCATTCTGAAAACCTACTGGTAGTTTGAAATTGGCGACTCCATTGCATCATCTCAGCATCCTACAGTGACATCATGTGTCTGCCCAAGGATCAAAGTGAGGGAATCCATGGCTCTCCAGAACTTGCTGAACAACAGTTCCCATCTGCACTATGATGGAAGCAGCCGTTTATTAATAAGCTAGGGCAGCGTTTCTCAATCTGGGGATCAGGACCCCTGGGGGGGGGGGTCATGAGGGGGTGTCAGAGGGGTCACCAAAGACCATCAGAAAGCACAGTATTTTCAGTTGGTCATGGGGGCTCTGTGTGGGAAGTTTGGCCCAATTCTATCATTGGTGAAGTTCAGAATGCTCTTTGATTGTAGGTGAACTATAAATCTCAGCAACTAAAACTCCCAAATGTCAAGGTCTTTTGTCTTTTCCCCAAACTCCACCAGTGCTCCCATTTGGACATATTGAGAATTCAAGCCAAGTTTGGTCTTGATCCATCATTGTTTGATTCCGTAGTGCTCTCTGGATGTAGGTGAACAAAAACTCCAAAAACTCAAGGTCAATGCACACCAAACCTTTCCAGTATTTTCTGTTGGTCATGAGCATTCTGTGTGCCAAGCTTGGTTGGATTCCATCATTAGTGGGGTTCAGAATGCCCAGCAACTACAACTCCCAAATGACAAAATCAGTTGTCATCGCGCCCCCCCCCCCCCAACTCCACCAGTATTGAATTTTGGGCATATTGGGTATTTGTGCCAAATTTGGTCCAGTGAATGAAAATATATTTAGCATATCAGATATTTACATTACGATTCATAACAGTAGCAAAGTTACAGTTATGAAGTAGCAACAGAAATAATTTAAAGGTTGGGGGTCACCATAACATGAGGAACTGTATTAAGGGGTCACGGTATTAGGAAAGTTGAAAACCACTGACCTAGAAGGAGGAAGGTTGACAGCCCTTCCCTAGATGTTCCAATACTAGAGGAGAATCTGTGTATGGCTTCCTTGGTTCAGTAGCTCATAAATTCTCCTTACTGAATGTTGGAAACTGGTTTGTAAGCATGTTAACTCCACCGGTAATAAGTAGTCTTCATTGAATTTTTCTAGTGTTCACAGTATGCAGCTAAAAAGAAATCATTAACCTTCCCTTAAACATATTACAGAAACCTATTATTATTAAATTTATTAATGAGAATGAAAATATTAACTGGAAAGATATGATGATTATTGTTATTATTATTACGAATCATCTGTCTCTGAGTCAGCCCTTTTCTGCCTATAGTCAACTTAGTTCCCTGCTGCTTTTCTTGCTGTAAATTCTCTACAGGCGCCGCATTGTTCAGAAATAGCTTGTCATTGCAAATCAGCTTAGCCAACCAATTAATAAATCCTTCCAAACATATTGCAGTTACTCTAATTAAGGGGTTTTCCCCTGTACCCTTTGCTATATAAATTCTTCAGGTTTCAAGTTTAAGCTGCAAACTACAAACCACGACTCCACAGGAATCAACACCCAAAGCTCCTACAGCATACAAGAGGAGGAAATGTCTTTCCTGACTACACATCTAGTTCTTTTGATTGTCTCATTGACGTTTTTATTTTGCCTGCATCCTGCAAGCACACAGCAGAGAACTGACAGAAACCTGAAGGTGGATAACAGCAATGCCTCCCACCAAAGCTATCTGAAGGATGCTTTACGTATTATTTCAGCAAACAACTACTCCAAAAACCATCAAAACCAATCAAGAGAAATGATCAGGATGTTGTTGGAGAAAACTGTTTGTCCGCAAAGGAATTATGAGAAGGAAGAGGACTGTAATCTGGTTAGTGAGTCAGAACTAATGAACAGAACATTGTATGTATAACATAGGAGTGAAACTCTCCTCTCTCTGCATTTGGTCTCCCAGCCAATGACGGGTTTATTATTTGCATGTTTATTCAAACAGCATATTCATCCTTTTCAAGAGAAACACAATAGCCTTCAAACATACTTACACATTTTGTTATCATTTTAGTTTTTCAACTTTGAAATATTTTTTTGTTTTTGTTTTCAATACAACAAAACTTCTAAACTGTGTGTTCTGCTTTAATAATAGCATTTACAGAAACTGCCAGTGAAGCTAAAATTGGTTCCACTAGTTTTATTTTACAGTGCTCTAATTGCAACCAATATTATCTTAGACTCATTTGTCATTTCCTGCTAGCCTCAAACTGCTGGTAATAGGCAAAATCAATGATTCTGGTAATGGGCAGGTGATTTGCATTAAAGGAATAATATGTTCATATATTCTTGTCTCATAATAGCATAAGGCTAGCGCATCTTTACTGTTAAACAAAGTGAGGCAAAAGACTAGCATTGCTACCTTTAATTTCTCCTATATTTTAAGGTTATAGGATAATTCATTTAAAAAAAGATATATCTATAGTTAGCCCCCTGCATTTGCTGGTTTAACTGTTGAGGATTTCATTTTTCATGGATTTGATTAGTATGGTCTCTGTAAGTCCTCCAGTTTAACTTTATGACCAGCTTCCACTGGTGGACCTAGTTGCACTGGCAGACCTAGTGATTTCTTGAGAGATGCACTCTTAGGATTTGTATCTGCAATTTTTTCAGCCGTTATGGAGGGCTAACTGTATAACCAAAGACCCAATGTGGCATGGGACTCTGAAAGACCAGAGTTTGAATCACTGTTTAGCCATGAAAAATCATTGGGTGAATTTAGGAAAGCCCTACTGTTTATCCTAACAGGCAACAAACCTTTAATAAACCCTGCTGAGAAAACCCAATGATAGGTTTTCACTAACTTAGAGCCAATTTGAAGACCCATAGAATAAACACACCTTGCTTTCAAATGAATAGAGGACAAACTGTTCCAGAGTAGTACAGCAACAGTAACTATGTGGAGGCTGGGCACCTGATCCTTGATATAAAATACATAGAGCAAATCCAGCCTCTTGCTCTCAGGGCAGATCCATCATAAAGTCACTGTTGCAGCCAGAGTCCTTGTAGAAGCTAACTTCGGAACAAACAAAAAACTTTTTCTTAGATATTCTACCTATTCCCACCCTCATCTTATTTTGTCTTTCCCATCACCATGGAACACAAGGTCGCTTCCCAGTAAAATGCAGTCCTGGGGTATTACAGAAGTCAGACACATGTCTATCGTCACTTGTACCAAGCAGCAAAACATGGAGATCTGAGAATCCAAAGCCACTCCTTTTTTCTACTCTCAGATCATATTTTGGAGCCTTCTGCTGAATGCAACTGGCCATGGACATGTATCCCACAGAGCTTTCTGTAGATAAAAAAGCTACCTCGAGGACAGTGAAATCGGCCCTGCTGACAAAGAGGAACCTACATGACATCCTAACCTTTATGAACCAGTAGGACTAGGATTTTTATTATTATCTCCTACAAGACTTTTGCTAAACTACATGAGACAAATGGCCTTCTTCTAACTCATGCTGACTAATTTGTACCTGTTTTGGTACTCTTCAGAGTTCTGTGTTGAGTCTTGTTTGATTTTTTGTTTAATTTTTGTGTTTGTTTTATTTACAGTGCCTTGAATCAGATGCTCTGATATTAACTGCAGGAGGCAGTTTAAGAGATTATCTTACTGAAGATGTATTCCAGAAAATTTCCCTAATTCTTCTATATTACATCATCCACCAAAGGGAAGCCTGTCCATCAATGCACAGTCTGAGAAATAGAGATTACAGTTTTTTCCTAAACAGCATGCTCTGTTATTTCCTTGAGAATGAAACCAGTAATGCTCTAGAGGCAGTAAGGAAACATTTCAATATATCTAAAAATCAGGTAAGAAAAGAAAAGAAAAAAATGAGGTTTGAGCCAACAATTGCCATTAGTATTTTTCCATCAAAATTTTAAACACAATTTAAATAGATAAAAGCTTGAGTGGATGTGCGGGTTTTGTTATTATCACTACTTTTATGAATATTTTGACACATGTCAAGATCATGACTCATTACTCCTGATCCATCCCAAACCTGAAGGCTTTGGAGGATGTGATGAGCCACTCAAGTCCGTAACCGGTGGGGTGATTTACTTGGTTTACTCATTATTTTTAACTGGTAATCAAATCTCTATGCTAAGTCTATCAGAAGCAAGAATTAGAGTTCCTTCAGAACTGCAAGCAATTCTTAACCAAATGTTGATAATTTATCTACCTTTTCACTAATTTACATTGCAGTAGCTTCAATAGCTGACATAGTGGAAGTAACTAAATTTCACAATATTTTCGATGTGAAAACGACATACTCCACCAAAACCACCATCAGGATCAGACTCCCCAAGTTAAATTCCTTAAGAAAAACTTGATAATTTGTGCTTGCTTTAGAAGTGTATTCTTCTTCCTAAACCATCAAGTATTTTTGAATACCTAGGTGCCAGATTAAAGGTATTTTATGTAGTTTTTAAAAATGTGATAATATGTGTAGGTCATAGATCTTGATTTTTAGATGTCCCAATTTAAAGTGAAAATATATGTATAAGAGATACATATGCTATATTTCTGATTCTAATCAATATTTTTTCATAAAATTTGAACACAATTATATATTTTATTATTTAGTTTCATTTGTTTTACTCCATGTAATTATCTTTAATTGTCTTTGAAATATTATTTAAAAAACACCTGAAAGTAGTCATGTCACTACTCTTTGCTCTCCCTTTCAGAGCTCTTTTATGTCCGCCTTCTTGCTCCTCCCACTGGAGTATAAAAAGCAGGCATGAAAGCAGCTGTGGGTCACTCCAGCTGTCTTACTGTGCAATTGTCTTCTAGTTTAAGTTGCTGTTCTGAGACTTAAAGCCCTGTTAGTTGCTATTAGTGTTTCCTTTCATCCACCTAACTCCAGAATATGCCTAAATGTCTATCAAAGCAACTGAACATTTTTGAGTTCATGGCAAAAAAGAAAAAGCCAAATATTGAAAACCAAGAAGGCAGAAGGTTGAGAAGCATTGCAACAGCAGGTACCAATGAAGACCGCATAACATGCACACCTGGATTGCTGGTGAAAACTAGAAAACTGTGGAAACGGAGGTGTCTACCACTGGTTCATCTAATTCAAGCCCTGCCAAAGAAACCATGGAACAGGAGCAAAGACAAGATCGTTAAATCTTGGACTTTATATGAACAATACTGTTTCTGATGATCAAGTGAAAGCTCAATTAGTGCAAAATCCACAGGCTCCATTGCCAGTATATGTATTTATTGTGGATAAGAACAGCCATCTAAGTTTTTAACCCATTCAGTTTAACAGATTTCCCTGGTTAGCCTACTCATTTCACGTACTAGGTGCACTCTGGAAGTACTGTGTAGTGGGGGTAAAGGTGGTCATAAGAAGCTTAGTGCTTTGGTTGCTAAACCATTTGTGCAATGGAAATCTGCAATTCAAGTCTTCAATTGGCACCAAAAAAACCCGCATTAATTCTACAGTGTAGATGCACCTCAGGTGTGCAAAGTAGCAAGAGGCTTCCAGAGCTTGGCTGGTTCATATTTTCAAATGGCACGACTTGCCTCATTTTTAAAAAATTGTGTCTAGTTACTTGTTGAGATTGTATATGCTTGTATATTAAAAGGTTTTGTGAACCTCTCTTCAGCCAAGAGGAATCTCACAATCAATTTGGCCTCTTTGACATAGATATGGTATTGGTGTACGCTTTGGTTGTTAAAAAGAGAAAGCAATTTTCCCCCAAGATTTTTTCACTCACAAACAGACTACAGGAAACAAGAAATCTATGCTCCGTCTAGACTATAATATGATCCTTTTTGAGCTAATTGTGTGAAAGAATGTGAAAGAGCCAGGAATAAAACCTGTAAAGGCTAATCCATTGCTTTACTTATATTTCCTTCACATTCTATCGATGTACCAATGAAATAATATACTGTAATAATATAAAACTGGAGATCAAGGAAGAGGCAGAAATTCTAGAAAAATATAGTCTAGAGCCAGTTGATAGAGCAGTGCTGTTTTGTTCTGCTCCTCTCTGTACAGAGAGCTAGATTATGATTTATAAACACTAATAGCTTAGGTCAGAACTTTCCAAAAGACTTTATCTCTCTATATGACACTTCCCAAGTTTTGAGCCCCTCAGAGAAGGGGGTGTTCTTGTGATCCCAAACCAGTGAGAAGGAAACCTAGTGTTAGGGTCCAGCTACTAACTAAAGAGACATCTAGACCCTTGGTTTCCAGTCAGAACTCTGAAATTTTGGGGTAGGGGTCCACAGCAACTCCCAGAATCCTCCAGTCAATTTTATTGTGTCCATGCTGGCTGAAAAATTCTGGACATCATAGTCCAAAAATAAGTACTGTATTCCAGGTTCTGCTTACAATAATGTTGGCCAGCTGAAAAGCACCTTCAAACTATATGTTCAAGACTAACTTGAACCTTTTTTTTAAAAAAAAAATTGCTTTGTTGACAGACTTAAGCCTCACTTTCAAAAGAAAATGTTCCTACTATCTTTCCAGTCTCATCTACTATAACATTATGATCTATTATCTATTATCTACTATAACATTATGATCTTTTAATCCATTTTTCTATTTTCAGTGTCTTCATGTAAGTGTTCTAGAAAAAGAAGTTGGAATACTGCACAGTAATGTAACCGATGAAAAAGTAGTTCCTCGCCTGGCTGCTGCAATTCTTACATTTGCACTGAGAGGGATCTGCCTGAGTAGAAAATATCTGCCTCCACCAGAATTCTTTATGGAATATGTTTTCAGTTCTCTGAACAGCACCAATGAGCTCCATGTAACAGGTAATTTCCAAATGTTATCTTAAAATGGAGGAAATACAAGAGGGAGGTTGGTCCACAATGACAAAAAAAAATACAGAATATATTATGCAGACACAACTTGCAGTTATGTTTGCATCGTTAATAGCAGGCATGGACAAACTTCAGCCCTCCAGGTGTTTTGGACTTCAACTCCCACAATTCCTAACAGGTGGTAGGCTGTTAGGAATTGTGGGAGTTGAAGTCCAAAACACCTGGAGGGTGGAAGTTTGCCCATGCCTGGTTAATAGCATGCCAATCATAAAGTGTTCTATAGAATTATCCCATAGCACATATAGAGCTCAGAGAACAATGTAATGGGTCTTCCCATGTTCATTTCTATTTTTGATGAAGTCTCCTATTTATCCTTTAGATTACAAAATAAATATAAATGGGAAGTGGAATTGTATTTTCCTCTCATTTATTTGCAGGAATGCACTTACTTTATTTTTATTCTGTCTTTCTCCCCATAGGGACTCAAGGTGACCAACAATGACATGACACAATGCAACAGAACTTAAAAACAAGCCAAATACATATACATATTGTGGTCATTTCACAGATATATAAACCCCTTTTTCCTAGTTCCGACAGACCTCACTACCTCTGAGGATGCTTGCCATAGATGCAGGCGAAATGTCAGGAGAAATGCCTCTAGAACATGGCCATATAGCCCGAAAAAACCTACAACAACACATATACATATGAATATAAAAATTGAAAATAAACAATTAAATTTCTTAGGTGCGAAGAAACTCCATGTTCACTAAATACAAAACCATGAAAAGTTCCCAATTTTCATCTACATTGCACCCAAAACATTTCCCATGATATTGGGGGACGTATGGGAGCTCAAACTTATTGGACACTTCCTCTGTATATTCATATACCTCCTGACTGAGAATATTGACAGATTCATATAATTTACATCATCCTCACTACATTATGACAATTTCCCACCAAGTCCCATAAGTGGATTTTTGTAACAAGCGTCATATTCTTATCTTAGGCCTACAGCAAATGAACCCCAAACTATAGAGAAGTGTAAGTGAACATCTCACCACAAAGAAAACCACAGCAGCATTTTTCCTGTAGTGGCAACAAACAAAAAACAAGGCAGAAGAGAATTTGATTGTGAATCAGTCACTGAGCAAATATGAGTAATGCATACACCAGTGGTTCTTAAAGTATGCTCCACAGAGCCCTTCACAGAGTATGCTCTACGAAGCATACTGAGGGGCTCCGCACTTTCCTCCTCCCTCTTCCTCCTCCCCTTCCAAGCTTTCCCTCCTCTTCCCTGCTCCACCTCCTCTCCTGCCACCAAAAGCCCTTTTCCCCATCTCCCTTATCACCAAAAGCCTCTTTCCCTTGCCTTCCTCGCTACCAAGATACTTCCTCCTTACCTTCCTTAGTTCCAAAACCCTATTTCCTTCCCACTGCTCTGGGGGTGCTTTGTGCTTTTCCTGCATGGCAGAAGGGAGTTGAACTGGATGACTTTTCTGTTGTGGCTATCTGTTGAAGGGGGTTGGACTGGATGGTCCCTGGGATCTTCCACTGAAATACCATTAAGTTCATATTATTTTTCATTTTAGATATTGTATTGTTCTTTCTTTCCTTTCCCCCCCTACTACAAATGAGATATGTGCAGTGTGCATAGGAATTTGTCCATGGTTTTTCCATTTAGTTCACACAAAAACTCTCTATCCATCTGCCATTTTCCTGGCCCGTCTGTCAAATTTTATAATGCAACATGTCAAAACGTTTATTATGTACATTACATATAATATATCGTATAATATATAAAAAAAATTTTTGCTTCAAAACTTTTGCTTCAGAATGGGCTCTGCAGCTCAAAAAGTCTGAGAACTCCTGGTATACACGATAGATATAGTTTCAAGCTTATTTCCTAATATTTCTAAGAAATGGATTACAGATATAGTTGGGAAAACCACTAAGTATTGTACTAAGCCAGAATATTATTTATCGGTTGGTCTTTCCTCAAAGAGTAGAATTGGAGAACTGATTTTTCTTTCTCTTGTTTCCCTTGTTAAGGTCATTATGATGACTCATGATACATATGGGATGTAGGTGGTTCCTTTTGCCAGATGCACTCTTGTTTGATTTTAGTTAACAAACTACATGTAATACAAATATTTTACTTGGCAAAATCCTAAGTGGCTAAACTGCCATTTGAATAAATAAACACATAAGACGGTATATAAGATAAACCAGCAGTTTTCCTAGATGAGCAGATTATCCCTATTATTATGAAGGCTAAGTTACGCAATTTCAATCATGGTGTAAATTTGGATTTGATCTTTTAAAACTAAATGTGCTAGCCAAAAAGCCTATTGGAAGAACAAGCAACTGAAGGCCTTTCCATCATCATTCATCATTCATTCGTTCAGTCATCTCCAACTCTTCATGACCTCATGGACCAGTCCATGCCAGAGCTCCCTGTCGGCCATCACCACCCCCAGCTCCTTCAAGGTCAGTCCAGTCACTTCAAGGATGCCATCCATCCATCTTGCCCTTGGTCGGCCCCTCTTCCTTTTGCCTTCCACTTTCCCCAGCATCATTGTCTTCTCTGCTTTCCTTTCTTCTCATGATGTGACCAAAGTACTTCATCTTGGCCTCTAATATCCTTCCCTCCAAGAAGCAGTCGGGCTTTATTTCCTGGAGGATGGACTGGTTGGATCTTCTGGCGGTCCAAGGCACTCTCAGAACTTTCCTCCAACACCACAGTTCAAAAGCATCTCTTCCTTCGCTCAGCCTTCCCTAAGGTCCAGCTCTCACATCCGTAGGTGACTACAGGGAATACCATGGCTTTGACTAGGCGGATCTTTGTTGCCAGTGTGATGTCTCTACTCTTCACTATTTTATCGAGACTGGACATTGCTCTCCTCCCAAGAAGTAAGCGTCTTCTGATTTCCTGGCCACAGTCTGCATCTGCAGTAATCTTTGCACCTAGAAATACAAAGGCCTTTCCACACAGCCCTATATCCCAGAATATCAAGGCAAAACATCACACGATATCTGCTTTGAACTGGGTTATCTGAATCCACTCAGATAATGTGGGATTTTTTACCTTGATATTATGGGACATAGGGCTGTGTGGAAGGGCCCTGACTTTGCTAACTGCACTGGGACATTATGGACCTCATCACATTAATGAGGTCTTGCAGGGCGATTCGCCAGCCTCTGTGGTGGTGGGGGGCAATCTCAGCGCCATGAGTTTTACCTCTGTGCTGGTCCCATGGTTCCCAACGTAGGACACTTGCACCCCAGATTATCGGCAGCGCCCCACCAGAAGTGAGCCTGCATCATAGGATGGGCAGCATTGGGCTCCGAGGACACTTGCAGCCAACCATGTGATGAAGTCCTATGTTATTATGCCAAACTTTTGAAGAATATAGGAGGGAAGTGAGTAGGTACATATCCCTTAGGGCCCTTCTAGGCAAATCCAAATGGAAAAATGGGGGGGGGGGCGCTAGCCAATCCCCAGCCCCCTATTTCCCCTGGCTACATCCTCATGCCCCTCAGAAAAAGCTACCAGCACATCAGAATGTTGGCAGCTTTGGGAAGTGGAGGGGAGCTTTCTCCGAGGGCCCTGAGGATGAGTCAGGTCCCTCTGGTAGGTTTAGAGAGGAAATGGGGGACTAGGAAGGGAGAGTGGAGGAGCCATCCTGCTCCTTTGGGCTCTTACAGCTCGAGGAACTGGGATGGCAATTGGAATTGACCCCTGGGATTGCAGAAGGCAGTCCCAAGTGTCAATCCCCACAGGGACAACATCAGGAAAGATCTGGACCTTGCCATAAGCTCCAGATCTTTTCAGTTATTTTCAAATCCAGAGCAAACTGGGAAATTCAAGTTTACTCCAGATTAAACCATATTAACCTTCTCTACTCTGACATCACCTTATGTCAGAGTAAACATATAAAACAATGAAATCTGAAAATAAGGGAGGAAAGCTATGACACTCTCTCTAAAACTTCTGAGAGGAGTCTCTTTTTCCTTCCCTCCCCTTCCATTGTTCCTAGAACTGACTTTATTATTTTTATAAACTTGCCTTGCTAACTGCACTTTGGATAAGTATACATTTCAGGAACACCAATCTACTAACATTACACTAAACCTTTCAATGGCAATTGCAATATTTGTATATTCTACCAGTTCATGTGCTTTCATCGTCCAGTCTTCACACAATATATCTGAACTCAAATTAAGAGGGTGCATTCTTTGCCTTTCATTATCTAGCAATATAAACCCAGAAGGCAATGGTATTATGTACTGTATTGGCAGGTGACCCACCAAAATATTGACAATCATGCATTTGAAATATTATTGATGTAAGAGAAGGCACTACTGTTTTAGTTTAGAAAGTAATGCTATATTTTCTTTAAAAATTCTTAGCAATAGACCAACTCCTGAGCAAACTATGGGCTGGAAAGGATTGCTGCACAAATCATCAAGCTTGTCAAAATAAGACAGTGAGAGATATTGGGTATCTAATCATTTCAGATGTAACAAAGCCAAACAATGGGAGCATTAAACATTGGGAAAATAATGAGAAAACTATTGAATGGGATCAGGTAAGCAAACACTTGTGGCATATGATGGGTCAGATTGTCTTCTAAAGAGATGTATTTCCGAATGATTTATATAAGGCTCTCTCTTTTTTAAAAAATAGAAGTAACACTTCTATTAAAAAATGGAGCCATGCAAATTTGCTGTGAGAGAGTCTAAGGCCCCCTCTACACTGCCATATAAAGTCCAGATTATCTGCTTCCAACTGGATGAAATTGCAGGGGTTTTTTTTCATGTCAGAAGTGTCTTGAGAAACTGCTAGTCACTTCTGGTATGAGAGTATTGGCTGTCTGCAAGTATGTTGCACATTGGATGCCCAGATGTTTTGATGTTTTACCATCCTTGTGGGAGGCTTCTCTCATGTCCCCGCATGGGGAGCTGGAGCTGACAGAGGGAGCTCATCCGTACTCTTCCCACATTTGAACCTCCGATCTATCAGTCTTCAGTCCTGCCAGTACAAGGGTTTAACCCATTGCATCCAAGGGCAGTGTAAACTCATATAATCCAGTTCAAAGCCGATAATGTGGATTATTTGCTTTGATAATCTGGATTATAAGGCAGCGTAGAAGGGGGGCATAGCTCCACCATTTCAATCAAGTTGTAAATCTTGTTATTTTGTAACAGTTTTAGTGTCAAAATCTTTGTTGAGGTCTCATCCTACGCTGTTTTCTTATATATTGGAATTGACACGGTAAGCTGTTATGAGTCCCTCCTCGGAGGTCAAGAAGGACGGGGTATAAATGCTTGAAATAATAATAATAATAATAATAATAATAATAATAATAATAATATGTCCTTACTCTCTGAATGACCATAACCCCATTGAATAGTGTAAGTGGCTTTTGCAAACTGATGCATTTTTTAAAAAAAATCTGCTATTGTTATCTCATCAATTGTGTTTTCATTATTTAAAATGACAATTTATTCAGAATTGCTTTCAGAACACCTATCAGTATGAGAAACACAGTTCTTTTCTTTGCCGAAATGGTGAAAATGTTGGTTTATAGGTCTTAATATTTAATCATTTTTCCTTCTCTCTGCCTTTGATTCTGCTCTCCTCTGGAATTCTAGGCTTCCTTTTTCCCCAAACACAGTTATGCCTGGCATTAGATTTTATAATAGTTTGCCAGTTTGAACCTTAAAGCCCCATCGGATTTTTACGTCATCCTTTTTTATCACTTTTTCAACCTTATGTATCTACTAGTTTTTTCTGTATAAGAAATAACTTGTATGTGTGTGTGTACATTCCAATGTATCAATACAGTCATTTTGTCATGACAACTCCTCTGTTCAATCTCTCCAGTCTTGCTCCAGACCGAATGTGAGAAATGCCTCCTTCATATTTGGCTCAGTGGGTTCTGTGTTGGGCAGAAGATAAAAAGCAGCTTTTGGGGAAAGCTTCATTTTATATCAACATTTCTTCTTATTTCTTAATGTCTTTATTAATATGCATGTTCCTTTGAGAAGGTCATGGCCGGCAACAATATATTTGATGTTGTAGCTAAATTTTGTCTTGTGTTTTTCACACATACATAAAAAAGCCATTATTTTTCATTGGTAACAGATGGTGCTCATTTTTGCTACCTCTAATTAAATTAAGACAGAAAATTTCATTCCATCACATGGAATGACACCCAAATAGGTCGTAGATCTTATCAGTAAGTATTGAAGATATTGCAAAAGTTGTTGTCGTTATGTTGTTGTTGCTATTGCTGTTGTTGTTGTTGTTGTTTTCTGGATAGGGAGGAAATCTGCATGATTTCATATCATAAGCAGCAGCAAGGAAAACAACAACAACAATGCATAATTAGATTTTCAGAACAGTAAGCATCTTTCAACCCCTTCATATATTTATTCTGTCTTGTTTTTAAGCAAATTCAAATACACTAATGCTTTGTTGCAGGATGTCACCTTTGCAGGGCACAAGTCTTTGTTGGCTACAAAGGTAATTAGAGGGTTAGTTTTCCCTTTGTCCACTCCTGAAGCAACTCAAGATTACCCAGAATATATTGCTTGATCCAATATATTCTGTTCGCTTCTGTTGCAGAGTATAACATATTTTATATTTATAGTGTGCTTATTAGAAGCCAGGCTAATTGGATGCCTGCCTTTTCCTAAAATCCTCTGCCAGCAGTTATTTCCATAAAACCATTAGATAAAAGGAGGCAGCCATTTGGCTATTCATAAAAGGGCAGAATTGTGATCCACACTACCTGACTGGTAACTCATAATCTAGTCCGTGGATTTCAGAAGTGGAAAATATTGTCCCATCACCAGTCTGGTCAACTATAATTCTGGTCAACCTCGAAATGTGAAATGGCAGCAGGAGGAATTTTGTCCTTCATCTGAGACCTCAAAAGACCTTGGGTTAACTCTTCCGGTCTAGTGGTTAAATGCCCATATACCTAGTACAGCTTGGCCTAGGTATAAGCTAGCTGGCACCCCCCCCCCCCACCCATGTGAGAAGGTAAGTTGCTGACAATTGCGAGAGAAATAAGGTTGAACATTGTAAAAGCCACCCATTGTATGACTATCAGCCACCTCCCAGTAGACTTAAATCAAGGAAAAGCTTCATGAGAACCACTACTCCTCTAAATGTTCCTCCAGCAACAGCAAGAGTATCCCTCTGGGCAGCAAAATCAGGCAATCCCAACTGGATGGCCCCCCGTGAGAGTCTTCCTCCAGGGGCAAACCAAGAATGGGCAACTTGGAAGTCACTGAATAGACTCAGAAGTGGAGTGGGCAGATCAAAAGACAACCTGGCTAAATGGCACTATCTTGAAGAATCCTCTACCTTGTGTGACTGTGGAGCAGAATAAACAACTCAGCATCTGCTTCATGCACAGAGGAAGAACTGTTTAAAGCTACAAACAATGTGGTCGCTATTGCCTGTTGTCGGTTTTAAACTTATTTATTTATGCTATGCTTTTGACATAGATAAATATAGCATGGCCAGTCTATTTTACCTTATATGGTTTATAAAACTGTACATGTGGAAACATTAAAGTTGTGAATTTTGGTTGTGGTGATGGGGATAGTATTCAGATTTTTAGACTTTGGCCCTTATATTTGAAAAGATAGTGTGTATTCCGTATAGTTTTCTTCTAGATCTCCAAGCTTTTGAATTTAGTTAACACTCTGCCTTCTCCCACACAGGCCTGTTTCTCTGCAAGTGAACTTGTGGAGATATTTTTACATGACAGCCATCTATCAGTTTCTAAAGAACACTTCAGACAAATGAGCCCAGCAATCATTCAGCAATTACTAAGCTGTTCTTGCAAGCTTATTGAGTCCAAACAAGCAAAACCTCAACCAAAATCTCTGGAAAGTAAGTTGTGTTTTCATATCTTAAATCAAAAGGCTATGTTTTGAAGGCAAAGGAAATAATAAAGTTCAGTTAATAATATGGCTTGCTCTCTAATGGTCTCAATTTGGCAGAGCCAGTTCCAATTAATACTCCATTGTCCTACTTTTTCAGATGCTTTTAAAGTGTCCCAATTTCTTTCTCCTCCTCCCACTTTCGCTCTTTGTTCCAATTAATACTCAGTTGTCCTACATTTCCAAAATGCTTTCAAGTGCTTTTTTAAATGTCCCAATTATTTTCTGCTCCTCCCACTTTCCCTCTTTGTCCTTAACCTATTTCTATTACTAAATTGGGACAGATGGTAGGTGGGCATTATTGCTTATAACACTATCTGAAATAGATCACACCTCAGAAAAGTTTCTTTCTTGGACTACAGCTTCCATTGGTCATGCTATCTGAGGATCATGGGTGGTGTACTATGAAAAAAGTGATTTTCCAAGCTTTGATACACTTTTTCCCTTTTTTAGAAATAAAAAATTGAGTTGCTTTTAACACATGCCTTCTGTCATTTCTCAGTATCTTTTTAGGTGACATGGGAGCTGTGCATATTATTTTCAGTGCTTTTCAGGTGCATCAGTATAACAAAAGAACTGAATCTGTCATTCTCTGTCTGCTGGTTTACCCTTGATCTGTAATCAAGCATTACATTTGCATCCAATTGTGCTCTCTATTATGTGACACCAGGCAAAGCTAAGTCATACGTGTATGATTTACTGAATCTTTTCTTGTCAAGTCTGCTTTGATTGTACCTTGCTGAAGGTCAGATTCAACCAGCTTCATTTGTCTCTACCTTTCTCTTCTCTTCTTTGCCTGCCCTATACTACAAGTTTGTCTCGTCTTCATAAAATAGACTATTTCCATTTGGGGATGGATGACTCTATCACTATTCCTACCCTGACATTCTCACTAACAGTAAATCCAGATTCTTTCCATCATAACCAGAATTCTACTTCTTAGACCCCATCTACGGTGTTATATAATCTGGGTTCAGAATGCAGATTAACAGTATTGAGCTGGAGTATATGGCAGTGTAAACTGATATAATGAAGTTCAACGCAATTCAGTCTGCATTATATGAGTCTACACTGACCATTATAATGGAGTTCAAACTGCATTTTATGGCAGCATAGATGAGGCCTAGGTGTTGTCTCACCTTACTCCTCAGACCTATTTTGCTGGGTGACAGTTGATCCATGAGGAGATAGTCTATTCTGTTGGCAATCAGGTATGAGTGGGTCCTCCTAGCACTGAAAAATGTTGCAACAACCAAATGCTGCCCCCGAAGTCTTTGTTGCAGCCCCACTCACTGGCTAGAGGAAAGGTAGAAACATCATCTGCTAGGCTTGGGTGGTTTCGTTCGTTAATTTCGTAATTCGTTATTAATTCGTATTTAAATTAGCTTACGATCCAATATTGAGCCATGCAGGAATAGCGTGAGGAGTAAATTAGATTCGAAACAATTTTTTCAATTTATTTTGTAATTATTTCGTTATTATTTCAAAATTATTTCGTAATTATTTTGTTATTATTTACGCATGTTTGGTGCAAGTTTTATAGTTGTTGTTTGTTTTATCACACCAACAGTCAACAACAGAGGGAGAGGGAAGCTTCAGAAGTTCCCCCTGTCCCATTTGGAGGTTTTTTTAGCATATTGCGCAATTGCGTCCGCCATTAACGAATCAATTCATAATTATACGAAATTTTGTAAATTTCGAATTTTTTAAAAGGAAAATTTTGGAATTCTTTAAAAAAACGAAATGCGATGGACCCCTAAAAATGAAACGAGTTTAGAAACAATTTTTTCCGTTGTTACCCAGGCCTATCATCCACCCACATCTCAATCTCAAGGAGAACAGACCTCCTTTTCTGAGAACAGCTAGTGCTTGGTAAAGAAGGTCAGAGGGTTTATGATTATGGAAATAGTGCTATAATTATGACAACATAGCAACCATGATCACAAATGAGTTATTGATGTGTAACTTTATGTTATGCATTCATCATTGCATTAGAGAATGGAGTTCACATTTATAAATAAATACATGACATTCGATAACTTTTTAAAAGCCTAATTACCAAACATTGGTTAAATTAAGTAACTATAGCCATTACCAGAATGCAAACAGCTGGTAATACTTGTGTCATAAAATGGAATATTGCCTAATCTTGAGTCGCCTCTGGCTGAGAAAGGCGGTATACAAATGTGGCAAATAAATAAATAATCTATAACATGAACAACAAAGGTATCCGTGTTACAGATGCCTATCACACTGCCATTAAAAACAAGGTGCTTGCTAGGATAAATAATAGATAATCATGTTGTAAGTGTACTTTTCTACCATAAGCATGGTTGTCTATATGGGAATTGAAACCCATTTTTTGAGGAATGAGCTCTAAAAGCCTTTTCCCTGGATGGACAAACTTGCTTGTTTTGCTTTCTTTAAAAGTTAAGATTTTTAAGATTTTCAAAACAGCCCTCCCCTCATAATGTTTAGAAAACTATTCTATTAAGTTCTTGTCTGAAAAAGGAACTGAACAGAATTCTAACCCTTTTCTAATTATGATTACTCATTTGTATGAACAGTCAAGCAAAAATCATAAACCTGTTTTTATACGAGAACAAAAGAAAACTGTGGATTCTTTTTTGTCACCTTTGAGTGAGAAATGGCATTTGAAACCTACATTAAATGAAAAGAATGAAAGAAAGGGCAGGGCGGGGGGGGGGGGAGAGAAAGAAAATGTATTTAAGTTGCTTGTTCCTTTTTTTCACAGAGTATGGCTATAGTACTCTTGCAGTTTTACTGATTACAGTTGGATCTATGTTTGGCACAACTCTCATACTATTCAATTCATGTCAAGAATGCTATACCCTCATTTTACAATTATTTGTGGGATTAGCTGTAGGAACCCTCTCTGGGGATGCTCTGCTGCATCTTATTCCACAGGTAATGTTTGTGTTTTCAAAATCTATTTCCTGTACCTCTAGCAATTTCTCATATATGGTAGATTCACAAATTACTATAAAATCTTACTTATGGCAAAATCTATTCAAAGTATGTTTGCCATTTCTTTTCTCTAAGGGTCCTTTCACACAGCCATATAACTCAGAATATCAAGGCAGAAAATCCCACAATATCTGCTTTGAACTGGGTTATCTATCTGAGTCCATACTCAGATAATGTGGGATTTTCTGCTTTGCTATTCTGGGATATAGGGCTGTGTGGAAGGGCCCTTAGACTAAATGCACACAAGGGTTATATCCCAGCTCCAGTGAGCACAGTTTGCTCCTGGTAACATCACTTTCACCTGTTTTAATATGAATTGAAAAAGCCACACAGCTCCTCCACCACAATAAAAAGGGTGCTTCTATCATGTTTAAATGTTCATTGTATCAGATGCTTTTAGGCCACATGAGTGCTGCTGGTACATTTTTTTTCATCCAAGCATGTAGGCTGATATATCCATATGTTCATATATAAACTAATAGCCTTTCTTGTTGTCCTGTCATTCTTAACACCCACCTGCACTTACATTGGCTGACTTGTGTATTGCTCCCTCGCCCTGCTTTACTTTACTTTTCTTTGCATATTTGAATGTGTGGGTACCATGGTCAATGATATCACAAGCCACTAAGAAGCCTATCTACAAAGTGCTGGGTAGATTCTGTCATTCTATTATGGTCTGAGTTCTCTTGTTAATAGGTTGTAAAAGACCCCTAACAACTTGTTATGTTGTCAAGACCCTTTTGACTAGTAACAACTTTTATATTAATAAAGACAGGTGCTATTACACATTAAGAAAAATATTTCTCAGCATAACAGTTCTTGAACAGTTAATGGGACTTCTCCTGGCCACAGCTGGGATCAAAAAGTATCTGTTTATTAGCAGAAAGGATCCCATGCTCATATAAATGTCATTTCTGAAGGATGTTATATAAGAAAAATCATTGCAGATCTAGAAGAGTTGTTTTCAATTGCATAAGCTCCTTTTCAAGTCCTTGTTATGGTTCATTTGATTTTACAGCTTACCACTGATATATCATACTGATTCTGCCTTGTGATATATTTTAATGCAAGCTTAAGTACACTGCAATGAGAGACGTGGAAAACGTTTTCCACTACCATCTGTACACTAGTACTTGGAATCACATTAATACAATTTCTCCTTTTACTTCTGAGGATTTTTGCCTGCCCCTCTGACACTAATAAGCAATTGAAATGGCAGCTCTTTGTGTACCAAGGCCAAGGTCAGACTAACATTATTGTAAATTAAGACAAAGCGCTGGCACATCAGTCACTAAGATTTATACTTAATATTTGGTAGCTTTTGCAGGGTGTTTTAGAATTGCGGTTCCCATAAGCATTTTTTAAAATGTTTACCTTAATTTTTAATCTAAAATGAGAACATGTCTTCATTGAAACATTTCATGCAATTAACACATGCCTGTAAAAGGATTCTACAATACAACAGTGCAAGGATATTGTCTAGGGGCAAAGAGGAGTCTTTAATGGATTTTTGATTATAAAACAGAACAATTATCTTCAATTATCAAAAATGCACCAAAAGCAAAGTGCAGGAAGAGAAAAGAACTTTTCTTTCTCCATTTCTCCAAAGAACCATATCAGGGAAAGAATAATAACAGGATTACTGGTCTCTAAGCAGAATCCTGTGCATGTCTGCTTAGAAGTAAGTCCTACTAACCAGTGAGATACTTCCACTAGAAACTCTTGCATCCACTCCAAATGCAAAACCCTCCAGAACAATCCTTTCATGCCAAGGAGGGGGTTCAGCTGGAGGGTAGACCAAGAATATCTCAGTTCTGCTGACACTGGATACTAATTATAGGTATAGGATTGCAGCCCTAATTACTTAAACAATTTCAATATAATCAGGCATTTTATTGTAATAATAGGACAGAGCCAGCACAATATATCAGTTTGAGTATTAAACTATGGGGCCATCTACTCGTGCCAAAAATGACAGTGCTGATCCAGCGAAGGGTAATTGGGATCAGTGCCATTGCTGACTGCATTGCAGGCCATTAAGTCAGCTCAGGTCCTGTTGGATCGGAGCTTGCCAGCAGATGGAGGGCAACTGCCAATCTGACCTTGCCCAATCAATCTGGTCCGAGTAGCAACCACTGTAGCATCTGTAGACACTAGTCAGAGTGAGAAAATTATGTCAGAGATGGAAGTAGGGGAGAAGGGAGAGATTCCTTCTTTTTCCCCTCTCTTCTCCATCATGTCATCACTCTATCATTACTACAGGTACTGAGTGGTAATCACAGCCATTCTCATGCTTGGTAGGAGAAGGCAAGTGCCATCCCCTATCTCTGGGCTTACCAGGGAAAGCAGGATGGTGATGTGAACAGTCACAACCACTACTGAATTGGAAGCAGCTCAACTGCTTGGTCATGGGGGGACCTTGCCTTCGACAAGGTCCCCCATGACCTTCTAGCAAACAAACTAGTCCCATGGGGCTAGGCAAAATTATGGTTAGATGGATCTGTAATTGGGTAAATGGACAAACCCAGAGGGTGCTCACCAATGCTTCCTCTTCATCCTGGAAAGAAGTGACGAGTGGAGTGCCGCAGGGTTCCATCCTGGGCCCGGTCCTGTTCAACATCTTTATTAATGACTTAGATGAAGGGTTAGAGGCATGATTGTCAAGTTTGACGACACTAAATTGGGAGGGATAGCCAATACTCCAGAGGACAGGAGCAGAATTCAAAATGATCTTGACAGATTAGAAAGATGGGCCAAAACTAACAAAATGAAGTTCAACAGTGACAAATGCAAGATACTCTACTTTGGCAATAAAAAACGAAATGCAAAGATACAGAATGAGGGACGCCTGGCTCGAGAGCAGTACGTGTGAAAAAGATCTTGGAGTCCTCGTGGACAACAAGTTAAACATGAGCCAACAATGTGATGTGGCGGCAAAAAAAGCCAATGGGATTTTGGCCTGCATCAATAGGAGCATAGTGTCTAGATCTAGGGAAGTAATGCTACCCGTCTATTCCGCTTTGGTTAGACCACACCTGGAATATTGTGTCCAATTCTGGGCACCACAATTCAAGAGAGATATTGACAAGCTGGAATGTGTCCAGAGGAGGGTGACTAAAATGATCAAGGGTCTGGAGAACAAGCCCTATGAGGAGCGGCTTAAGGAGCTGGGCATGTTTAGCCTGAAGAAGAAAAGGCTGAGAGGAGATATGATAGTCATGTATAAATACGTGAGATGAAGTCACAGGGAGGAGGGAGCAAGCTTGTTTTCTGCTTCCCTGGAGACTAGGACGCGGAACAATGGCTTCAAACTACAAGAGAGGAGATTCCATCTGAAAATGAGGAAGAACTTCCTGACTGTGGGAGCCGTTCAGCAGTGGAACTCTCTGCCCTGGAGTGTAGTGGTGGCTCCTTCTTTGGAAGCTTTTAAACAGAGGCTTGATGGCCATCTGTCAGGGGTGCTTTGAATGCAATATTCCTGCTTCTTGGCAGGGGGTTGGACTGAATGGCCCATGAGGTCTCTTCCAATTCTATGATTCTATGATTCTAACTGTTTACACTGGCCCAAAAATGGGCAAGGTCTCGAGCTTCAGAGAAATTTCTCCTACGTTAAGGAGAATGAACCCAGTATGATGTGTGGATGTCATGAAGTCAAATCACTCCTGAACTGACTCACATGACCTATATAGATGGGCCCTATGACTCTGAAGACTAGGGTTTAAATCTCTGTTTGGCCATGGAAACCCACCGAGTGGTCTTGGACAAGTCACACTCCCAGAGTCTCAGAGGAAGGCAAAGGCAAATCTCTTTAAACAAATCTTGCCAAGGAAACCCTGAAATGGCTTTGCCTGAGGGTTACCATAAGTCAGGAATGACTTGAAGGCACACAACAACAAAACATATAAACAAAACTTTATAAAATGCATCAAGTCAGCTGATAACAGCAAGTGTAACCAGTCTCAAAAATAGTACTTTTCAAATCTACCCACCCACTCACCCATCCATCACTTTATTTATATCCCACTTTCTCCCACGCCTGAACTCAACATTACTTACAAAAAGACAAAACACACACACACACACACACAATGAGCTAATACATATAAAATTGAAATTAAAGGAACACTGAATAACAACAGAATTACAGCTATTTACTATTATAGTATCTATATAAATAAAAATGTAATGTTCGTTTGTGGGGTTAACATAACTCAAAAACCACTGGATGAATTGACACAAAATGTGGACACAATACACCTGTCAGGCCAATGAGTGACTATCACTCACAAAAAACTGAAAAACACAGTGGAGAGTTTAAAACCCCAAAATTAAAAAAAAAATGCATTACAACACATGCACAAAACCACACATACACACATATATATGCAAACACACATATATACACATATGCACAAATACACACACAAAACACATATACACAGACTGGGCCACAGCAACGCATGGCAGGGGACAACTAGTTTTAAATAAAGATTAAAACAGTGCAGTGCCTTAAAAGGTCCTTCTCTCGTTAAAAATCAATTTCCCAAAGGTTTACTGAACAATAAAAGTCTTGAGCCAGTTGGTATGCAACTCAACCGACACAGAAGAGTAGAACAAGGTGGCCCATTGTACTATTAGTAATTGTGTAAAAATCTGTAAAGCATCCTTTTCCTCTGTATAATTGTGCTGTTGGGTGTTTCAAGATGACTATTGATTTAACTGAAGTTCAGGATGCTTCTACATTTACAATATAATCCATCTTGGAACTGAATTAAACTGAACAGGTTTTGTTGTGTGGTGCCTACACAAACAGTAGAGGAAACATTTTGAGGCTGGGACAGAGGCCATAATATCGACCAATTGCAGATCAGAACCAAAACAGGGAATCGTATCTGCAGCTAGACAGTTGGGTTGTTGTAGGCCATGTTCTAGAGGCATTTTCTCCTGACGTTTCGCCTGCATCTATGGCAAGCATCCTCAGAGGTAGTGAGGTCTATTTGAAGTAGGAAATTGGGTTATGTCTGTGGAATGACCAGGGTGGGGCAAAGGACTCTTGTCTGCTGGAGCTAGGTGTGAATGTTTCAACTGACCACCTTGATTAGCGTGTGGCCTGTTAGTGCCTGGGGGAATCTTTTGTTGAGAGGTCATAGAATCATAGAATCAAAGAGTTGGAAGAGACCTCATGGGCCATCCAGTCCAACCCTCTGCCAAGAAGCAGGAATATTGCATTCAAATCACCCCGACAGATGGCCATCCAGCCTCTGTTTAAAAGCTTCCAAAGAAGGAGCCTCCACCACTCCGGGGCAGAGAGTTCCACTGCTGAATGGCTCTCACAGTCAGGAAGTTCTTCCTATGTTCAGATGGAATCTCCTCTCTTGTAGTTTGAAGCCATTGTTCCGCGTCCTAGTCTCCAAGGAAGCAGAAAACAAGCTTGCTCCCTCCTCCCTGTGGCTTCCTCTCACATATTTATACATGGCTATCATATCTCCTCTCAGCCTTTTCTTCTTCAGGCTAAACATGCCCAGTTCCTTAAGCCGCTCCTCATAGGGCTTGTTCTCCAGACCCTTGATCATTTTAGTCGCCCTCCTCTGGACACATTCCAGCTTGTCAATATCTCTCTTGAATTGTGGTGCCCAGAATTGGACACAATATTCCAGGTGGTCTAACCAAAGCAGAATAGAGGGGTAGCATAACTTCCTTAGATCTAGACACTATGCTCCTATTGATGCAGGCCAAAATCCCATTGGCTTTTTTTGCCGCCACATCACATTGTTGGCTCATGTTTAACTTGTTGTCCACGAGGACTCCAAGATCTTTTTCACACGTACTGCTCTGAAGCCAGGCATCGTCCCCCATTCTGTATCTTTATTTCGTTTTTCCTGCCAAATTGGACGTTTGTCACTGTTGAACTTCATTTTGTTAGTTTTGGCCCATCTTTCTAATCTGTCAAGATCATTTTGAATTCTGCTCCTGTCCTCTGGAGTATTGGCTATCCCTCCCAATTTAGTGTCGTCAAACTTGACAATCATTCCTCTAACCCTTCATCTAAGTCATTAATAAAGATGTTGAACAGGACCGGGCCCAGGACGGAACCCTGCGGCACTCCACTTGTCACTTCTTTCCAAGATGAAGAGGAAGCATTAGTGAGCACCCTCTGTGTTCGTCCATTTAACCAATTACAGATCCACCTCAGTGTAGTTTTGCCTAGCCCACATTGGACTAGTTTCCTTGCCAGAAGGTCATGGGGGACCTTGTCGAAGGCCTTACTGAAATCCAGGTACGCTACATCCACGGCATTCCCCGCATCTACCCAGCTTGTAGCTCTATCGAAGAAAGAGATCAGATTAGTCTGGTATGACTTGTTTTTGATAAATCCATGTTGACTATTAGCGATGACTGCATTTGTTTCTAAGTGTTTGCAGACCGCTTCCTTAACAATCTTTTCCAGAATCTTGCCCGGTATCGACGTGAGGCTGACCGGATGGTAGTTGTTTGGGTCATCCTTTTTTCCCTTCTTGAAGATTGGGACCACATTGGCCCTCCTCCAATCTGCTGGAACTTCTCCCGTTCTCCAAGAACTCTCAAAGATGGTTGCCAATGGTTCCGAAATGACTTCCGCTAGTTCCTTCAATACTCTGGGGTGTAGTTGCTCTGGCCCTGGGGACTTGAACTCATTAAGAGCGGCCAGGTATTCCTGGACGACTTCTTTCCCAATTTGGGGTTGGATGTCCTCCAATCCCTCATCCACTCCATCTTGCTGAGGTTGAAGACTCTCTTTTTGTGAGAAGACCGAGGCAAAGAAGGCATTAAGTAGTTCTGCCTTTTCCCTATCCCCTGTCAGCATTGCCCCATCTTCTCCTCGAAGAGGTCCTATCGCCTCCTTGTTTTTCCTTTTTCTACTGACATAAGAATAGAAGCCCTTTTTATTGTTTTTAATGTCCCTGGCAAGTCTGAGCTCGTTTTTTGCTTTAGCCTTGCGGACCTTTTCCCTACAGGTGTTGGCTATTTGTTTGAACTCTTCTTTGGTGATTTCTCCCTTTTTCCACTTCTTGTGCATGTCTCTTTTGTGTCTTAGCACAGTTAGAAGTTCTTTGGACATCCATTCTGGCTTCTTTGCACTTGTCCTATTTTTTCTCTTTGTTGGCACTGTTTGCAATTGCGCCTTGAGTATTTCACTCTTGAGAAATTCCCATCCATCCGTAACTCCCTTGTCTTTTAGTATCTGTGTCCACGGAATGCTGCTCAGTGTTTCCTTCATTTTTTGGAAATCAGCTCTCCTAAAGTCCAAAATGCGGGTTTGACTTGTCTTAGTTTCGGCCTTCCTTTGTACCTCAAATTGCAGGAGCACATGGTCACTTGCCCCTAAGGATCCTACACTTCGACCGCATCGATCAGGTCCTCCGCATTTGTTAGGATGAGATCAAGAGTAGCCAATCCCCTTGTTGCCTCTTCTACCTTCTGGACCATGAAATTGTCTGCAAGGCAAGCGAGGAATTTGTTGGACCTTGTACTCTTGGCCGAGGTTGTTTTCCAGCAAATATCGGGATAGTTGAAATCGCCCATGACTACTACATCTCTTCTCTGTGCCTGTTTGGTCAACTGTTGGCAGAACTTCATCAAGTTCTTCCTCCTGGCTTGGGGGTCTGTAGTAGACGCCTACAACGACATCTTTTTGAGTCCCAGTTCCCTTGATTCTTATCCAGATGATTTCAAGCTGGTTTCCCAGATTGCTGTCTTGAATCTCTTCTGCAGCATAAGAGTTTTTGATGTGATTTGATGTGCCTGATTGTTTACTCTCTGTTGTGTTGCTGTTGTAATTTTAGAGTTTTTTAATACTGGTAGCCAGATTTTGTTCATTTTCATGGTCTCTTCCTTTCTTTTGAAATTGTCCACATGCTTGTGGATTTCCATGGCTTCTCTGTGTAGTCTGACATGGTGGCTGTGAGAGTGGTCCAGCATTTATGTGTTCTCAAATAATATGCTGTGTCCAGGTTGGTTCATCAGGTGCTCTGCTATGGCTGATTTCTCTGGTTGAAGTAGTCTGCAGTGCCTTTCATGTTCCTTGATTCGTGTTTGGGCGCAGCTAGACAACTGTCATGAAATGTGGGGTTGCTTTTTTAACCACTCCAGTGAGATGCACTGATGTGCAGATCCAACTATCAGTTTGTGATTAGTGCTGGACTGTAGCAGGGCACAAGAAATGGGTGGAAACTGCAAGTTCCCATGAGAATGATGTGGTGGGGGGGGGGGGGGTAACTATCCACCTGCATGCTTACCTTCCAGCCAGCTGTGTTTTGGTGATTTTAAAGTGCTTCAGCACTAATAGTGTTCTTACTAATGCTCCACATTTTCCAGTCTTGATTTTGAGGCAAACATGTGATATGCTAGGGTCAGCTGAAGCATTTGTTTTTGGCTTATTCTGGACTTTCTGGTGAGTTTTTTAACATGCTGTTTCTGGCTTGATGCACACTACAACATGCATTGGGGGTGGCTAGCATGTCCTTGAACTGCATTTTATGGTCAGTGTAGAAGGATTCCAAGTTGCATTTCTTGTTTTAAAAAGCAAGGTCAGATATCATGACAAATTACAAGATAATTATCAATTTATTTTAACTCTAGGTTCTTGGTTTACATACACACAGTGTTCAAGAGAATGGGAAGTTCTATGAAGGCAAAGAACACATTTGGAAGATGCTGGCTTTGATTGGAGGAATTTATGGATTTTTTCTTATTGAAAAAGGATTTGTTCTTTTGATGTCACCACATGAGCATGTAAGTTTAGCCATTCTTTTTTACTTCTTTTTATTCCTTAAAGATTGATTTTGAACTCCATATTCGATGAGAAGTACATATATTTCCTGCAGGGCCACACATAGCCATTCTCTGGCCAAGGGAAGAGATTGAAGAACACATAGTATCTATTCGTATGTTTATATAGCTATTTGCATGGCAATTACAGTAGACTATCGGGGGCCCTTCCACACAGCCATATATTCCAGTTCAAAGCAGAAAATGTGAGATTTTATTCAGCTGTGTGGAAGGGGTCTCAGTTAAATGGAACTCAAGCAATAAACAAAGAAATCAAAGAAATAATATACTTTATATAAAAATGAAAATAAAATATGTTTAACTGAAACATTACATTAAGTTTGCTTTTATTGCTCTTAATTCGCTTTTAATTACTGTATTTCAATATTAATTAAGCGTACGGCAAGGCTGCATACTCTCACCCAACCTTTTTAACTTGTATGCAGAACACATCATGCGATGTGCGGGGCTGGATGAATGCAAAGCTGGGGTGAAAATTGCTGGAAGAAACATTAATAACCTCAGATATGCAGATGACACCACTCTGATGGCCGAAAGCGAGGAGGAGCTGAGGAGCCTTCTAATCAAGGTGAAAGAAGAAAGCGCAAAAGCCGGGTTGCAGCTAAACATGAAAAAAAACCAAGATTATGGCAACAAGAATGATTGACAACTGGAAAATAGAGGGAGAAAATGTGGAGACCGTGACAGACTTTGCATTTCTAGGCGCAAAGATTACTGCAGACGCAGACTGTAGCCAGGAAATCAGAAGACGCTTACTTCTTGGGAGGAGAGCAATGTCCAGTCTCGATAAAATAGTAAAGAGTAGAGACATCAGACTGGCAACAAAGATCCGCCTAGTCAAAGCCATGGTATTCCCTGTAGTAACCTACGGATGTGAGAGCTGGAACTTAGGGAAGGCTGAGCGAAGGAAGATCGATGCTTTTGAGCTGTGGTGTTGGAGAAAAGTGCTGAGAGTGCCTTGGACTGCGAGAAGATCCAACCAGTCCATCCTCCAGGAAATAAAGCCCGACTGCTCACTGGAGGGAAAGATACTAGAGACAAAGTTGAAGTACTTTGGCCACATCATGAGGAGACAGGAAAGCCTAGAGAAGACAATTAGGCTGGGGAAAGTGGAAGGCAAAAGGAAGAGGGGCCGACCAAGGGCAAGATGGATGGATGGCATCCTTGAAGTGACTGGACTGACCTTGAGAGCTGGGGGTGGTAACGGCCGACAGGGAGCTCTGGCGTGGGCTGGTCCATGAGGTCACGAAGAGTCGGAGACGACTGAACGAATGAACAACAATAGTATGGAGCATAAAATTAATTATGCTGATTTCTAACAGTAACTCTCAAGCAACCAGAAACTACATTATCAGTATACCAATCCCCATGGGTGCCGTTTAACTAAGAGTCTAGTATATGTTATATTTAGGGACCTTCCTGGGTTTCCCAGGGAAGTAAGTGACTGAAGGAGATGCACAATCGGTGCTGAATGGGTCACAGTCAATATTGCTTCTGGACGCACGTAAAAGATGTATGGAGGCATAAGTTGGACTCATATCTGCATTGTTGTGTGCGTTACCAAGAGAGTGCCCGCCAATATGAGTAGAGACATTTTGTAAAATCTCATTTTAGTTAAAGGGATTCCCAGTATTAATTTTCCATTGATGAAAAGAATTAATTTTACTTACTTACTTACTTACTTACTTAAAATTTCAAGGTGAAGAAATGATATACCATATACTATATACTCATGTACTGGTTGACTTCATATATAAGCAGAGGGTAGATTTGGGAGATAATATTGTATGTATTTTTCTATGATTCATGGATAAGTCAAGGTTAAAACTTCCCGGTATGCAATAATGCATATAGGGAACATTCTTGGGAAGAACTAAAAAAGAGGAGAAAATCTGTTTATGTGAGGGATTACACTGGGAGTGTAAATTGTCTTAAAATGTCTACATCTGTACAAATACAGATAGGAAAAGAAATATACATGCAGGAAAAGAATGTGAACATAGCTTGGGGGAAAAGAAGGGGCAAGGAAAGCAACTTGCACCTATTATGGACCCAGCGCAAAGGCAGTCCTCTTTATCTCTTTATCTCAATATGCCCAACTTGGTTTTGAAATATTTTGTGACATTTTTGATTATGCTCAAATTTTGAGGCCTGCTTTTTTGAATTACTATACAGATTCATCTCCTGTCTTTAGTTTCAAAAGTCATTTTTAATTACATGGTCATTATCTTTTCACAGTTCTAAATAAATCTCATTTTCTTCATCTCCTATTATTGTATTTCTCTTATTATGATTAAACCCGTTCTTAAATTGCACATAAGCAGATTAGTTAAGATCTTTGCTATGCTTACTAGGACAAACCCTATAATTATTGATAGATAGCAAAATTAAATATCCATAGGAGCAGCAGAGGTTTTGGCAGTAAAATTTAGTTTCTAGGGTAACAGAGACTAGAAAATATGTGTCACTTGCTCTAGATTTCTTAGAGAGGTCAAACAAGGTGGCCTACAGAGTCCTACTACCTCATTTTACGTAAGTACTTAACTTACCAGAAATCTCCCTTCACACTAATGTAGCAAATCAGGAGTGACAACAATCTATTTATGTCCAAGATCCTTTATTGTGCTTGCACAGTACAACTTACAGAGCTAGTGTGCTATAGAATTTTCCTTTGTTGGACTTAAGACCAAGGTTTGCATTCCCACTAAACCATGGAAACCTGTTGGATGGCCTTGAGCAAGTCACTCTCTCTCAACTTTGTTATTGTTGTTTGCTTTCAAATTGCTTCTGATGTATGACAACTCTAAGGTGACCCCATCACCAGGCTTTAATGGTTGAGGCTAAGAAAGGGTCACTTATTCAAGGTCACCCAGTGGGCTTCCATGGGTGAAATCTGGTCTCCGGAGCTTTATCCAACACTACACCATGTTGGATCTCTTCTCTTAGCCTAAGGAAGACTATAGCAAATCTCTGAATAAATCTTGCCCAGAAAAACAACATGATAGTGCCTGTTTGTTACATAATGTCCTTGCTTATCAAATTCTGTATCTGTCAACATGTTTTTTATTGTTATATCATGCAAAGGGAATGCAGTGCCTGTTTCTACAATCCCAGTGAATAAAGTGATACATTGAGATATACAACCACGTTCTGGAATCAATTTGGTTAGTTTCAGCTACACTAAATCCACCAAATTAATTGTGGAATAATGAACAAACGCATAGGTACATCCATTTAATTCAATGGAGCTACTTCAGTTGGAACTTATAGTAACTTTTAGTTCATGTGAAATGCCTACCCTTGTGGAACTGCACTTCTACAGCCAAGAACTGAACACATTTGTTCCACAATTGCCAAAAGCATATAATTGCATGTCTAAATAAACTTACACAGGTTTATAACACCCACAGGATTGTAACCTGTAAATTATCTTTGTTTTCCTCTTTTAAAACAAATAATATGCAAGTGTGAATTGTTGTCAAGTTGAAGGATTTGGAAAATTCTCACCATAACAATTTATTTTTTCAATCCAATTAGTCCATTCCAGAAGATTCTGGTTCTCCAAACAAGAAGGCAGCCAGTAGGGAACGTAAGTATTAAAAAAGAGAAAGGAAACTAAATTCCAAATAATCAATGCATAATTTAAAATAGGCTTGTCAGTATAAATATGAATTAGTGTTCTCTCTGTACAGTACTACATCTTCCCCTGCAGTTCCGCCTGACATAATTATATAAGCAAGCCTTTCCTTAAATATTTGTTTCTACCAAACCACCCATCTGAGCATGAGACACATCATACGGCCTTTGGTATGGCATCTGTTTTCCAAGTGTTATACAAACAACTTCTGAGCATATAGTCACAGCAAAACCTTCAGAATTACTATCAAAGTAATTTCCAGATTTTTAAAAGTTTGCTTAAACTTTATCATGGTTTCATTTATGCATAAATATGTGTGATATTAAATGCAACCATGAAATCAGCCGATAACCCAAGGATTTGAAGCCCTATTCTCAATACTCGCCTTACCTTTAGTCAGAATGAGATGTTTGCTTTACACAGCAGATTTAGAGGGATTATGTAAATGCAGCAAATGAGAAATAAAGTCATAGTTTTGTATTTTTTACTGCCAGAGACAAAAAATGAAATTCTAGAACCAAAATAATTAAGTTGGTTTGACATGTGATATTACGTACCTTGACATTGTGGATAATGATGCCATTTCCTGCTGTGCTTCAGGCAGCAATATGTCTTGGGTAAGCCCCACATATTTCAATGGTCATCTTACTGAATTTTCTCCATGCTAGTTTCTTAACCCAGCAGATGGGACTTGGGGAAAATAAAACAAATGAAACAGATGAATAAGTTATGTGCATGGGAGGTGACTCAGATCCAGCAGCAGAGTTTTATGTAGTTCCTGAACAAATAATAGGTCTTGGAATAGAGAGATCGCTGTTCTTTGCTGTTCACCTTGAATGGTTGATATACAACTAGCCTTTAAAAAACTGGCTAACTTGGTACCTCTACCTAGGAAACAAAAGTTATTCTAGTCAGGTTGATTTATTAAATGGGCTGCTTTCCAGAATTCTTATTACACAGAGTTCAAGGGTTAAGGAATAAAATCATTATATGATTTAAGCAAAGTTGAATGTATATTGTAGGGACTTCATTTTGCATTCTTAGAACACAAGCTATATATACTTATGTAAAAGTACTGTTATCAACTGAATCCACTTCTAGGAAAGGAACAGTACCACATATTGCAACTTAAAGCAATGTTAAAAGAATAATGTTTACTTTTCATCTGTTTTTACAATAACCTATATTGATCCATGTTATTGTATGCATCATTCCTCATGTCATCTTTATGGCTATTTTCAGCTATAGAGCTATAGCTATAGCTCTATGGCTATAGCTATATAGCGATTCAGCTATAGAGCATCGAATCGTGCCTTTTTTGTAAGCCATCCTGAGTCCCCCCTCGGGGGTTGAGAAGGGCGGGGTAAAAGTACCCTAAATAAATAAATAAATAAATAAATTTCATATTACTGAATTATCTTGCTTATTTAATGGGGCATGTACACACATGCACATGAGTTCCCTTGGAAGAATGTGTTCAGAGCAGATTTGCCATTGCATCCCTCTGAGGCTGAGAGAATAGCACTTGGCTAAGGTCATCCAGTGAGTTTCTTTGTCTGAGCAGGGATTGAAACCAGAATCATAATCCAACTCTCAAACCCACTACATTATATTGGCTCTCTTTATCATACAAACACTTTTAATAAAATTAATATATGGCAGCTGAGACCAGATGAACACCAATATCAGTGAAGTTCATTATCTTAGTCTTGTTAACAAACTTTCAATCAGATAATTTTACAACATGACCTCTACATATTTTGGCTGGAATCTTCTGCAAATTTCTTAATACAATATAATAGACTTAGTTTCCACTTTGAGGCATAACTGTCTCTTTTCTTCAGTCCTAGTTTCCACGCTATTATCTTAATCCATCTCTGAATGTTTCCATGGTGTTCAGTCATCACATCCTAATAATAATAATAAAATCATGGTATAATCATTTGTTCCAATCTAATTGTGCTTTTTATTTGGGATAATTATATAAAATATATTCTCTTTGTTTCTTTTTTCTCATAATCTTTCTACATAAAAGTGAAAAAGAAAGAAGCAATTTATTTTCCCTGCCCCTTGGGTACAACCAGAATAGAAAAAACTACTAGTTTACAAATGATAGATATGACCCAATCCCCTACTCTATAGTTTCAAGAACAATTAATGAATTGTGGTGCAAATGTAATGTTTGCAAAAATGCATCTCTGCATTATGTATATTGTTTGTTGAAGGTTTTCTGAAATCCCTTTATTATTTTCAAATGTGATTGAATTTTACATGAGAAGGGCTTTGCCATAAGCTACACTTTATTGATGGATATAGAATCAGCTTGTGCACATTTTTCCTGCTTTAATAAATAAGATCAATTCAGGTTTTCCAGGCCCTTAAGTTACAAAATATCAGGTCATGTTGCTTCTATCTTGTTTAACGTTACATTTATCATCTCCCTTTTTCTTTTCCCTCCAGTAGTTGTACTCAATTCATGGCAAGAGAAAACAACTGTGTGCAAATCTTCAACTCAGCTAATAAAGCAACAGCTTGCTATGATTTGCCAGGCTTCATTTGTTTGCTACAGCTTGCAAAGACTCTACAGGGGTTTGCGCAAGTTGTTAATTCATATTTTAATATAATACTGTAGTTTTTCAATTCTAACTCACTTTTCCCCATATAAACATCTGTAAAAATGGGAAGCATCTTAGAATTGCAAGTGCTTTTTTCTATATATAAACAGAGCTTTTTTCCCATTGGATTGAACGAGAGGACATAGTTCTTTTTTAATTGTTATTATGCACTGTCATTATGTTTAAATGCACTTTAATGTTTTTGCTTTATTAATGTATGTATTTTTATGGCATCGAATTGTGTCGACTGTGAATACCACCCTGAGTCGCCTCCGGGCTGATATGGGCGGGATAGAAATAATGTAAGTAAGTAAATAAATAATTGATGGTACTGAAATTAGTACCTTAGAATCAGAGAAATACAGTATATATTTGGTACAATATATATTTATGCATTTAATTAGCTTCATCTTTCCCTCCCATTTGTTGTGGCACAAGGACTTATACTCCATTCTGTAGGTATTAGAACTGTAAACCCAGGCCCCTTCTACACTGCTATATAACCCAGATTATATAATCCAGTGTAGATCCAGCCCCAAATTGCATCCATTCTGGAAGGTCAACCCAAAAGAGTTCATATTTGCATTACCCAATTGGCAAAGACATAAAGCTGTAATACAATGATTCCTCCAGTATAAGATGAGTACAATTGAACTTTCTGTCTTGCATTCTCCTTGCATACCACTATTAGCAGGGTTGACATATAATATCTTGATTAGTAACCACTGATATACTATTAGCCATTTCTTCTGTTTTTAATTTCCTACTATTCACCATTGTTAATATTTACCATTAGTCTTAGCCACCAGCATACTCACTGATGAGGAATGCTAGGAGATGCAATCCTGCAATGTTAAGAGGGCCACGTTTTGTCTAACCCTGATCTACACCAAATGGCTACTTATAGTTTGCACTATGAGCAAAACTCTACATTGGAACAGAGTGGTCTGAGGTTAATAGCTTATGATTAATATTGCAGTCCTGCCTAATGACTGCAGTTATTTTTGTCTGCTTCCATGTGGTCTGTCTTTAGCCAGTATCCTTGAATCAAAGTAAATAATTTCCCTGCTTTCCATCTAGCCTGCACTTGCTGCAGTGTGCAAAACCCCTCCTGCTTGCCAAGTATAAAGTATGAGGGCATTCTGTTCTGTCCTTTCGTCTAAACGTTGTATATATAAACTTAGAAAACAGCATTGTGTTTTACTTGTTAAGGTTTGAGCTGAGCTAAAATGAATTTTCTTTTGCACATTTTTGTGTTTTCTTTCTTGTACTCTGTAATATATCTTTAAAGAGCTGTTTGAGCTGAGGACATCTAGGTTTAGTTTTCTAAGTTGGCAAAGAAATCTAGTATGCCTGCCAATATTATTTAGCTCCAAGTGTTCCCAGGCAAATAAGAGGAACTTTCTGATTACAGTGTTTTTATTGTTATTATTTGCAGTGTTTCCCTTTATAATCGTTTAGAAATTTTCAGTTTATGGCAGAAAAATATCTTCACTGTCATTCTAAAACAGTGGCCCAGGGGGAGGCATTCCTGCAGTAACATAACAGGAACACTCCATGACTTGTTAGAACATTAATATTATCTCATATGCTCTCATGTAGCCTGAGCTTCTTCATCATTTTTCCTGAGGACTTCATCACAAGGAGCTGATGAAAATGAGGGAAAGCGGGAGAAAGGGTAGCGTTTCTAACTCAAGCATCTGCTTAATTCCCATCACATGGGCATGCAATGACCCCTCACAATTTAAGGAGACCAGCTCACTTTTTAAAACAGGCATCCTTTAAGGGAGCACTGCCTTCAAGACCCTTCCACTGCAGCAGACTTAAGGCATTTTTCTTAAGTTGGCACTTTCCATTGGATCGTTTGCACTCAAGACCTTTTCACTAAAGCAGAGTTTAAGAAGCTTTCCTAAAGCGGCACTTTCCCTGGGATCCTTTACCTTCAAGACCCTTCAATTGAAGCAGGTTTAAGGCATCTTTCTTAAGGTGGCACTTTCCATGGGACTGTTTGCACTCAAGATCCTTCCACTGAAAGAGAAACACCTTTCTTAAGGCGGCACTTCCCCTAGGGTCGTTTGCACTGAGATTTCCTCCCATTTGTCCCTCCAGGACTTTGATTATTTCTCTTTTTTAAAAAAAAAAACATCACCCCGGATCATAGAAAGTGATTTTAAATTAACCCTAATCTTTCCCAGAGCCTTTGCATTGGATTTTAATTCTGTTCTTATTGATGCTGTTCAATATGTTTTTATTGGTCTTTTATGTTATTGCTTAATATGATTGACAGTTTTATATTATTTAATTGTATTGCTTAATTTATTGTATTGTATGCCATTGAATATTTGCCTTTCCTTATTGTAAGCTGCCCTGAGTCCCAGAGAGGAGATAGGGCAAGATATAAATAAAGTGTGTTGTTGTTGTTGTTGTTTGCATTAACAATTGTAAGAAATGGTTTTAAATTAACTCTGATCTTTCCCCAAGCTTCTGCATTGGTGATCTGGGGAAATGGGCATTTCAGCTCCTCCCACACACACAGTGTCATTGTTTTAGGGTTGCAAGTGGGCAACAAAAGCAGGTAACAGGTATTAACATCACACAGGGAAATTGGCCATTTTGACTACCTCTATGTGGGTAATTTAAAAATAAGTCAATTGCCAACCGGCTTAGGAATCACTGGAAAAACCAACACCTTAGAAACGGCAAAATACCTCAACCTCACAGTTAAAGCTTGTGTTGTGTGAAGGGTACTGTGGGTTGTCATTTCTTAAATGTGTAGAAACGCTGATTTTACTGTGTGTGATGAAGTTATAAGTAAATTTGAAAATTTCTACTGACTGAGGAACCCAATGAAAGTGGAGAACAATGAATTTTTCAAAATACTTAATTTTCTTTATCTAGGAGAGCACTTCTCTAGGAATTTCTATTTGCACACCTATTGTCTCATACAGGATCAGCAAATGGAAGTTGCAGTCCAACAGCATCTGAAGAGCTACCCCTGAAGGGAACAATTGAGTTCTTTGCAGTTAATGCACTTTTTAAAAGGAAGCTTTTAAAAAATAAAACGAGTATTGGTTTGCATATTTTTGATCTATAGTAGAAGTATCTTAAAACCAAAACCATAGGCCCATGGTGTATTCTATACAAGTGAACTGAAACCTAAAAGATAAATGGCGGTAACTAGCTAATTGTGTAATGGTTATAGTTTTAGCATTAATTTTGCATTTTGGTTTGAGGTTGTATTTTATAGTGGTGAGTCACCCTGGACAAAACCTAGATAGAAAGACATGATTTTAAAAATAGCAAGAAAACAAAATTGATATATAAATGACTAATGAGTTATATTGTACATATTATTAAACTTACTCTGAATTTTATTCTTTTAGGCCAAGGGATTAGTTTGTTAGCCATTATGATTCTGGTTGGCGACAGTCTTCACAATTTTGCTGATGGCCTGGTAATAGGTGCCGCATTTTCATCATCAACGGAAATGGGTGCAACCACAACCATTGCCATATTGTGTCATGAAATTCCCCATGAGATGGGTAAGTGAAGTCAAATCTTTCTATTGTCAGCACAACTAGGTTCTTTCCTTTCCGAAAGACATAATACAGTATGACCCCTGTAACCCACCGTAAGCAACAAGGAGAGGTGAATAAGAAAAATATATTATTATTATTATTATTATTATTATTATTATTATTAGTTTCTGAAATTAATGTGGAAACAGGAAAACATGGAGAATAGCAAACCCTGTGAAATGAATGTCTTATGACAAAAAAAATATACCATAGAGTCATGCTGGAGAGCCTAGACCAGTGATGGGCAACCTTTTGAGCTTGGTGTGTCAAAATTTGCCAAAAATCTTGGGTGGAGTGTCATTTCAAGAAAAAAAACCATAATTTTGCAATATTTATAGTTTAAATAAGAAAAATGTATAATCCATGCTGAGTTATGGAGTGGACAATGCTCAAACGTGCAGATGTTAAATTTGTAGAGCCTTTTACAAATTTAAGGATGGAATTAGAATGGCTCTTATAAGGTGTATTTCTCTGTATGTGGCCACATGTGTCTGCGTGTCATCAAAAATAGCCATGCGTGTCAGTGCTGACACGCATGTCATAGGTTCACCATCATGGGCCTAGACCCATTCTCTGTGGGTGATAGGTACTTTGATTTTGTGTGGATACACGAAACGAAGGAAATTAACCCTATTGAAATGAAAATATATACATCTATAGCCCACTTAATGTGATCCTCCAGTTATATAAACTTGCTAAATATCCAGATTTTCTGCATAAATACCCCAAGACTAGGATGCAGGACTTACTTTACTTACTTACTTAGGCGATCCCTCGTTGGACAAGTAAGATGGTCTTCCATTATGGATTTCCTTGTGGGTCCGTATGTGGCTGTGGAGCCCTATTCTTGCTCTGCATCTTCTTCCGCAGTGAGGGCATTGGTTTCCAGGTGGAAGGCGGTCTCGGTCGGGTTGGCTTGACGCGCCTTCCTCTTGGCACGCTTCTCCCTTTCACCCTTCATTCGTGCCTCTTCAAATTCTGCAGCACTACTGGTCACAGCTGACCTCCAGCTGGAGTGCTCAAGGGCCAGGGCTTCCCAGTTCTCAGTGTATAGTCTTCCAGGATCAGGATTCTTGTGAGTCTGTAGGTGGCTGTGGAGCCCTATTCTTGATCTGCATCTTCTTCCCCAGTGAGGGCATTGGTTTCCAGGTAGAAGGTGGTCTCAGTCGGGGTTGGCTTGACACGCCTTCCTCTTGGCATGTTTCTCTCTTTCACCCTCCAATCGTGCCTCTTCAAATTCTGCAGCACTGCTGGTCACAGCTGACCTCCAGCTGGAGCGCTCAAGGGCCAGGGCTTCCCAGTTCTCAGTGTCTATGCCAGAGTTTTTAAGGTTGGCTTTGAGCCCACCTTTAAATCTCTTTTCCTGTCCACCTTCCGTTTTCCGTTCTTAAGTTCGGAGTAGAGCAACTGCTTTGGGAGACGGTGGTCAGGCATCCGGACAACGTGGCCGGCCCAGGACTAAGCTAAGTGTATACAGGGCAATGAGAGAAATTTCTTCCAAGGTTCTTGAGTTTATTGTTGTGGTTTACTAATTGCTTGAATGTGTTCTAGTTCCGTTTTCAATCTACTTAAAAAAATTTAATGTTTTCTTTGAAGTTTCTTATTAGCTGTTTTTGAAGGAATGGCAGAATATTTGGTTAATAACAAATAAACACAAATGAAAGACTTTGACATGCCTACACACTGAGAGAAGCTGAAATTTGATTATGTTGTCACATATGGAAGCATTGCATGATTTTTTTATACAGAAAATATTATCTTGATTGGCTGCTATTGCAAAACAGTACCAGTGCTTTATCGACCAATAAATATTTTATGCTTCCCTTTCCTCTCTCTCCCCAGGAGATTTTGCTGTTCTCTTAAGTACGGGCCTTTCTTCAAAGATTGCCATTTTAATGAACTTCATAAGTGCCCTGACTGCTTTCATTGGACTTTATATTGGCCTTTCAATATCAACAGATCCTCGCATTCAAAACTGGATATTTACTGTCACTGCTGGGATGTTTTTGTATTTGTCATTAGTGGAAATGGTAAGTAATGCAGCCTCTTTTATTGCCCTTTAGTCCTTTAAATGACTTTTTTCAGATGATAAAAGTTGATTATAAAATACCAGATTGCAATCAATATGCTAAGTGGCAGAGAGGGTTGTCATTAACATGACAATTGAACACTGTCAGATAATCACTTCTTTTCTGCCTACACCCACTATCAAAATGCATAACATGATTAATACAAAAAAAAGGTTGGTGATCATCTCCATTCATTGAGAGCCAAATATTAAAGTTACTTTAGAGCCAAATAGTAAAGTAAAGGCATACTTCATGACACCCATTTTATTTTGCAGCCAAAGCAGCCATGCTACCCAATATAGAATTGCATTTCTAAACCAAACTACCACTGGTCAAATAGGTACATACCAGAAACTAAACAAACAAGAAACAGAGGGAAATAGTAGCTCATGCCTCTTCTACACTGCCATATATAATACATATGATCTGCTTTGGACTGCTAGTCAGGCTGCTAGTTTGAGGCCACTAGCTACCATCCCATTTTTTCAGATGTTTTTGAAATCTTCCAGTTTATTTTGTATCCCACTTCCCCCCCCCCCTCCTTTGTTCTCATCTTACTTTGGGCGCTACCAGACAGCCTCATAATCCAGGACAAATATGTGGGGCAAAAAATCTGCCAGTCAAGTCCAAACACAGAGCTGTCATTCCCAGTATGTCAAGACCCAGAAGCCTCAAGAACGCCAAAAACAATGTAAAAGGTCCAAACACAGGTTTATTATATACAAAAAAGGCTTAGAGACACTTACTTCAGTGTCTCTAGCAAGAACTAAGAGTTTGTAGCAAACAGAGCAAAAAAAACCAATTTAAATATAATCCGGATTATCCTGGCATATAATCCGGTATAACAAAAATATGCAGCAATCCGCTTGAAATTCACAGTGTCCAAAGAACATACAAAAATAAAGTGGGAATGAACAAAAACAGTGTCCCAAGGCAGTCCATATTCCGAGCACGTTCAAAACAAGATGAGATAGTCCAAAAAGAGTAGTCGTCGTCAAACACGGTCCGGAGTCAAAACGGGAGAGTAGAAGTCATCACTTACGGAGTTTCAAGAAGGAAACACGGAGATCATAGATCTGTAGTCCAAGGACCCAAGCTTGAGAATAATGGCAGGAACAAAGATTCACACCCGAAAAGACACTTTGCCTTCTGCAAGGACCCATTGAAACCAAACCAACTTATATCCTAAAGCTCCTCATCAGAAGATGAGTTGCTCCCCACCCTTTCATCATCACTCTCAGCTGCCCCATTCACTGCAGCTGAACCCAGACCCCCATCTCTCCACCTTTGCCAGAGTCTGTCAAGACTTAGATCTTGCCAAGTGTTCCCAGATTGCCACTCTTCTGTAAACCCCTCACTGGGGGTAGGCTGAGTACAGATATCCCTAATCTCCTGTACACGGGTCCAGTCAAGATCACCCTTCTCCCCCATGTCACTCTCAGTCCCATCACTCCTTTCAAAACCTATAAAGCCTTCATCCTCTGTTGGAGCACTAAGTATATCACGGATATGCTTCCTTTGAATCTCCTCATCAGACTCTTGTTTGCAAGTAGCCCGCTTGACTCCCCTGCTTTCCTCTCCTTCCCCCATTTCGCAGTCTGAGAAACCCTTGAAGGATTCGGAATCAGTTGGGGCCATGAATATATCTCTAACCCGGTTTTCGCTGCTGCTCCTCCTCCAACACCTGCGCAGCCCTCTTCTCCCTTCTACCAGTAGTAGTAACGTTACTATCACGCTGTACTACAACACAGTAAATGCTCTCCGAGATGCGCTGGGCCTCACAAGCACTGATGCGGATATCTGAATGTGCACAGAAGCAGATTTCTTGTCATCTCTCTTTATGCTTCTGCTGCCATTACTTTTTCCTTTGTGGACCCATTTGGGGTCACTTCCTCCCATGCTGGTGCCCACTGTATAAATTCAAGATCTGTTTAATTTCATAAACATTAGAACAAAGGAATGGTTGCAGAGAGTTCTCATGGGAATTGCTTTTCAATTGTGTTTCCATTTAGCCATCTGTGTGTCCGTGGCTCCATTTGTTTACAAAATACATTTAAAAATCTATGTAAAGAAAAAAATAATAACACTCAAGGTGCATAAAGTATATAATATTCAGTACATAGTTCAGTATATTCACATAAAGTGAAATAAACAGGAGCAACCGCTCTCAGACATAACACTTACAATACAGTATATAAAGTAAAATGAAAAGGAGCAACCGCTCTCAGACATACAGTTGTAAGATCCTAATGTATGCAGATTTCAGGGAAGCATATACAATAGAGTCTATTTTTAAACAAGGTAAGAACAGGTAAGAACAGGTAAACAAGGTAAGAAAGTCCACGAGAGTAATATCCAAATGATGATGGAGCCCAGCTCTCAAGGAAAATCTTTGTAGGGAAAAATTTTATACACTCTGATTTGGGGACAAAATCCCCTTCTTCAGGAGTTCGTAAACACAGTATTATAGGCTCATGTCTAAAACAAAACATAGAATAACAAGCAATTACCAGCAAATTTAAAGAAGTAAAGCTAATCCATATAACAAATAACTACTTACATAATGCCTGATAGTTTTACATGGAGTGGCTCTGCTGATGGTGATTCAAACTTTGAGTAATGTTAAAGATCCTTCCACAAGTTTATATGGAGTGTAGAGGAACTTAAAGAAACTGCTCAAGTTAAGTTATTTGTTATATGGATTATCTTTACTTTGTTCAAAGCAGATAATGTGGATTTTATACAGCTATATAGAAGGAGCCTCAGTTTAAACTGTACTCAGTTTGCGTGCATGCAGTTTAACCCATTGGGTAAGAGAAGAGGGGCAGACTCAGGCAAATGCAAACTTCTTTAGCCTCTCTTAGCTTATCTGTTCTCATTACAGTAATCTTTTCTTTTTTTACCACACTCTGATGTTGGTTGGTCACATTTTCTGAATTTCACCTGTGAAATGCTGAAGGGTACATGTTAAACACATTTTTGAAGCAGCTTTTCAAGCAGTTAAGATATTTCTGTTGACATCCAGCACCTGCTTCTCCTCTAAATTTGTTCCAGTTTCTAAATATGCGATGAGAACGTGCCCATCAAATCTCTCCTACCTCACCCCCATAGTTTCAGCATGACATGTGAAATTGAAAGTAATAATTGCAAGTGATGATACCGGGAATTTGCTAATTTCCTGCACAGTTTAGTTCCCTTCACAGATTCATTCTTTACCAGTGATTATAATCTAATTTATTGGGGGGAGGTGACTGCTATGCTATACACTCAGTCCTTTTTTTTTTTTTTACCATCTTTTCAAGCCAATGTGTTTTAACAAATTTTTTCAGGCCCCTTCTAGGCTGCCATATAATCCAGATTATCAAAGCAGATAATACACACTGCTTTGAACTTGATTATTTGAGTCTATACTGCCATATAAACCAGTTCAAAGCAGATAATCTGGATTTTATAGGGCAGTGTAGATGGGGCATCAGATTCAAATTTAGATGCATCCAACTGGATGGCACCTGGGGATACCCCTGTGACCAATTATTTGTTGGCGCAAAACTATACTTGGGAGCCTTCAGGAAAGGAGATGGCTTTAACCCTTCATGCCTTCAGTGTAACTATGATGGCAGACAAGTATAGTGACTGTCCTATCAGATCTTGGCCCCTATTTCTTTTAATAAGAGAGCTGAGGCTACAACTCCCAGAATTCCTCAAATAGCATGGCCACTTGTCATGTGACTGCAGGATTTTGGGGACTTTACTCCAGAAAAGTAAAGTTTCCAAGCTATCTGAACTACTTTGTCGTGGTCACCAGTAATCCACTGAACACAATTATAATGTTGGCACATGCTATTCAAATGGAGTTATTCCCAGGAGAGAGGACTCCATTCATCAGATGCTCTTTTCTGAGAATAATACCTATTTCTGTGTTTTTCTGTGAACATAAACTTCTAGTAATATTTTAGAGTGCTAGTGTAAGATCCCAGAAGTGAATTTGTCATTTTATGTCTGAAGCATGCTAAAGATTGGTATCATATATTTAGAAATGGCAGATTTAAAAGTCTTTGCTAATGAAGTTTGTCATGTTTCCCATAAGACTGTTTTCCCAGAGAGTAATATATTTGGCTCTCATACTCATGTCTTATTCTTTTTTTAGCTCCCAGAAATGACTCACATTCAAACACAGCGCCCCTGGTTGATGTTTCTCCTGCAGAACCTTGGATTACTATTAGGTTGGCTTTGCCTCTTACTTCTAGCTATATATGAACCCAAGATTAAGATATAAATCTCCTGCCAGCAGTCTACAAAGAGTAGCCTCCTGTTCCGCTTGTATTCCTTTCATTCCTGTGGGTTTCTACAAGATAACTTTCAAGTGAACTGTGGGCTAGATATTATATATTTAAAAATGGCTGATTTTTTTGTATCAGAAATAAACTGCCTAATTATTTAACTGCAGATGTATTTGTTTCATAAATTAGATTTAAAAACTACAAAACTTCTATTGCATGGAATGATTTCAAATACTTTGTGTCATTTTAACAACATTCCTAGGTTCATTTTCCTCACATCAACTTCTCAATTATTATTAAACTATTCTTAATTAAACATCCTATTTTCAGTTGAAACGGTTGCTCTGAGATTTGATATTGTGATTGCAGAGCAACCATTTCAATTGAAGCGCACACTGTTGTTTACTTCAGTGGCAGTTTTGAAGCCAACGGCCCAAATGTAGTCAGTCAGAGCAGACAATGTGACTGAATTTAAGCTTGTATAAGTGTTGATTTTTTCAAGTTCTCATGGCATGATTGCAGATATTGTTTTGTATGTACTTTAAATTGACTGCTGATTTATAGCAGCCCTGTGAATTTAATAGTATTTTCTCAGACAAAGAATGCTCCGAGATTGTTTTGCCAGTTCCTTCCCTTTAAATAAAGTCTATAGTATCTGGATGTATTGGTAGTCTATCACCCAAGTACTGGCCAATGTTGGCCCTTCTGACCTTCCATGATCAAACAGAATCTAGTTCTTTTATAGAGCATCTACTGTAGATTAGACTAAAACCTGGATTTTAGCACAAGGTAAAGGCAAAGGTTTTCCCTTGACACTAAGTCTAGTCGTGTCTGACTCTGAGGGTTGGTGCTCATCTCCATTTCTAAGCCGAAGAGCCAGCGTTATCCATATCCAAGGACATGTGGCCAGCATGACTGCATGGAGCGCTGTTAGCACAAAAAAGATATATATTTTATAAACTAGAACAAGCATGCAAAGCTGATAATGCTGTGTGTATATACATGTGAAATAAAACAAAAATAAAATAAACAAATATTCTAAATGAGAATTTTTCCTTTTTTTTAAGCAAGTAAAAATGTATTATCATACATATTAAAACTGGCACCACTACAAAAAAAAAAAACCCTAATGGAATATTGAAATATCTAGTTTTGATCTGTGGTTCGTTTTAACTGTATCAAATAGGATCTTTGGCAGCAGACCATGTCATTAGAGAACATTATGCATCCAGAAAGCAAATTAGCTGTTGAAGTGTGAAAATTGCCATACTTTTAGCAATCCTGCAATTTGTGAAACAGTAACATATCTGTACTGGCCTTTACACAATGTTTGAAACTTTTTGTCTTAAATAAAAGCTACAAAAATATCTTCTATCTCTGTGAAATTGCTATGCTATTAACTAATGCAAAGAAATAAAATACCTGTCAAAACAGAATGAAGCATCATTCATTCCATGATCTCCAGTGTACAACCAGTTCCAGGACGCAGGTCAAAACTGGCTGTAAGCCAAATTAAATGAATGCAAAATATATTTGTAATTTCGAATAATAGATACACCATAGCAGGCATGTAGCCGGGGGGGGGGGGGCCTTGAGGGGCTTCAGCCCGCCCCCCTGAAATTCTCATGGTGGTTCGCGAGAAGTCCTTACTGGTGCATTATTTAAACTGTTATGTTTATTCATATCATGATCTGATCACCATACTCAATATATCCCATATGCATAGGGGTATTGGGGTAATGATACAAAAGGTTTGCTAGGGTAGACTCTCTTTCACTCAGACTCAGCCCCCCCCCCCCCCCCCCCCGAAATGAAATCCTGGCTACGGGCCTGCGTCATAGTATGATTGTATATACAGGTTATTTAAGGTCAATGGAAAACATCTTTCTTATAATACTAAGAGATGACCTCAATCTTTCTTCACCACAGTGGGTCTTGGGGTATATTACACTGAAGAATTAATGCAGTTTGACACCTCTTGATCTGCCATGACTCAATGCTTTGGAACCTGGGAACTGTAGTTCAAAATTATTTTCAAAAATCTCAAATTGGGCATCACTGCAGGAAGCATTCCACAAATTACAATGGAAATATACATCCTGGCTGACATACAAAAACTTACTGAAAACAGGCAATAATAAGAAACTATTAAAATCCTTATTGAAACTCCAAAGCACTTGATGTCCTGGTTCCAATATTTTCAAATCCATTGGAGATGGCAAAAGGATCAAAAAGTGGGTATTCAAGAAACAGATACAGAATTAGATCTACAACTGAAAAGAAAAGACAAGCTGATTGCTGATATCTATAAAGTATTATTTTAAAAAACGCACGGAAGAAGATCAAGTAAAAGATCACATGATTAAATGGGCACAAAACATTAGTCATAATATTGAAATGAGTACATGGTAATACTTGTGGTAAGAGGGATAATATTCACCCCCAACTATAGCCTCCATGAGAATTTTTAAAAAATAATATAATGTTGGTATATGACACCAGAATAATTAGCTAAAATCCAACCTAAGAGAAAGAATATTTGATGGAAATGGTAATGCAGCAGTTGGCTTCTTTTACCATATGTGGTGGGTATGCCCACAATCTAAAAATATTGGACAAAAAATACACAAAATAATAGAAAATATATTAGACTTCAAAATAATTTTAGATCTCGAAGAATATGAGAGAATTTTCCAATACATGGTATCAGCAGTCAGGATGTTATTTGCCAAATATTGGAGACAACAGACAATGTCAAGAGTGGAAGAATGGAAAATGAAACTTATGGAACTCTCCGAGATGGACAAGTTGTCCAGGTGACTAGAGAATTAGAATATAAATACTTTCAAAAAAGATTGGAAACTGTTAACCGTCTATTTGGAAAATCTAAAAAAAAAAATCCCAATGGCTGGCTTCCTAAATTGAATAAAGTACATTAAACTGACAAAGGACTCAAACTGAAAAACAATTAATGGAAAGTATCTTCCAACATTATTGAGAATACAAGGTAGAGTTGCCTCTGCCCACAAACATTAAGTTTCCAATCTACTTTTGTATTCTGAACTTTTTTTGTAAATATAACAATATACTGAAAATAAATAAAAATAATAAATAAAAATAATGTAAATTTAAATTCTGACAGCTCATGTAGCTGTCAGATCTCTTCTGGCAGGCCATTCCATAGTCATGGGGCAGTATACGTCTGTCTATACATGTGCTGTCCCATATGTGGTACACAATAGAGAGTGCAATAAAGAGCATGGACATCATGTATAAATAGGTGTGAAATTCTCTGTGATAATTCTCTGAAAAAAACACTATACGGGGCAAACATTTCTGCTTCAATATGTATGAGTCTAAATTCACATAACTTCCTCCCATCGTTGCATTGTGGGTGCAACGATGGGAGTTATAAAATGTATATACATATCCGCGAGAAGGCCTTACTGGTACATTATTTAAACTGTTATGTTTATTCATATCATGATCTGATCACCATGCTCAATATATCCCATATGCATGGGGGTATTGGGGTAACGATACAAAAGGTTTGCTAGGGTAGACCTTCTTTCACTCAGACTTAGCCCCCCTCCCCCCCCCGAATCAAACTCAGCTCCCTCCCCTGAATCAAAATCCTGGCTATGGGCCTGTCAGAATATATTATGCCACATAATGTAATGTATTATTCACTCCTAAAAACCTTTGTTTGTATTACAGAGGTACGTTCTTTGGAGGCTTTAAAGCAGAGACTGGATAGCTACCTGTTGGGGGTGTTTTGAATGTGATGTTCCTGCTTTTTGGCACGGGGCTGGACTGGATGGCCCACGAGGTCTCTTCCAACTCTATGATTCTATTACTTCACGAAGTAGAAACTATAATGAGTTAAAGAAAAAATATCACTAAGAAAACAAGAGAACTGCAAAATACAGACATATGAACTCTCTGGTAAAGAAAAAATAGGAAAACTATAAAGCTTACATGGACTGTTAAATGACCAAATACAGCGGAGTGAGAGAACAATTAATCCTTCCTGCATTAGAGGATTTCCCTCAAAATGTACCAGACAGAACTGTGTTGTTTAAATTGGAATCATCCAGCAGATTTTGGCAAATTCTACTAATGACAAGGAGTGTTAAACTGACCTCATTCTTAACACTGTTTACTGCTTCAAGAAATTGCCATTTAAGATCAAGGGGAAATGGCTGGTCCTCTAAAAGATGTCTCATTTTGTGGATTCTAACATTTAGATTGTTTGCAATAAAATATGATAAAAATCTATGCAGGTTTGTGCTGTTGTATCATAAACCTGCATATTGCTTTGGATAAAAAGTTAACTGAAACATATTCTTTTTGTGGTGCAGGAACCTATCTCTGTTTCTATCTTTTCCATGTTATTTCTGCCTCTGATACAACTTTTAAAATCACAGATCAGAAACACATATACCACATTAACTGAGATAACTGAGGGTATATATGTCTCAAATAACATTAGAAATCCATCTGTTTAATGAATGCATGTTCATTTTGCATAGGACTTCATCACATGCATTTCCCCCCATTTCTACACACTTTAAAATCAGAGTCCCATGGAGGCCATCACATGACGTAAGGGTACTTCTGGTTGGGACTCCTTGGGGCTTCATTTCTCCAGCACATGAAAACAGAACCGTAAATCTGTCTTTAGGAGTCAGGTGTTATCCAACTCCAAATGGAGAAAAGTAGGGGAAAGCAGGGGAAATGAATCAACATGATTAGGACATGGGATTGTTGGCAGTCCAAGAAGATGGGGAAAGACGGGAGGGAACAGGGTGAGACAACTCCCTCCACTTTCCCTCTGCTTGTGATGAAATACATAGAAATAATAGAAATCTGGCAGGTCTAGTTATCATTTGATCTATCTGAATCTGCTATAGCTCACATCTTGACACCTAAAATGATTTATTGAAATTTTGTAGTGGAAGTACACTACTAGCACAAACCTTTTTAAAAGGGGGATTTGTATTGTTGAAGTCTTTCATGGCCAGAATCACTGGGTTGCTATGAGTTTTTCAGGCTGTATGGCCATGTTCCAGAAGCATTCTCTCCTGATGTTTTGCTTACATCTGTGGTTGGCATCTTCAGAGGAGAGAATGCTACTGGAACATGTTATACAGTCCAAAAAACTCACAACAACCCAGGGATTCATATTTTCTGGTACCCTCTACAAGTGTGAATCTTTTAATAATAAAGGTTTATGTTTTCTATGTAGCTTGTTTTTGAGATGGATGTGCACTTTCTATGTACTTCCATGGAAGAAAATCAGTAGTATACACAACCAGGTTCAATTATACAGTATAAGCTTCATGAGTTCCCATGAGTTCATGTGACCTGTGAAACACCTTTCTACCCCATCCCAAGCAGAAACATTTAGTCTGTGTTTTTCCATGAAGTGAAACTCAATTTACTGTGGACTGGTTGCATAACAGTTTTATGTAGATTTATACCTAGAGATTTAGTATCTAAGAAAGTTCATATAATATTAAAGCCCAGATTGTATTGAGAAATGAGGCCTCTTTTAATTGAGTTAATTCTACTTCAATGACATCCCGTTGTTTACTTGTGAAGCAGCCATCCCAAAATGTGCCAATCAGATAAACTCAATTGCCTGAGCAAAGCCTCATGTTTTTTCAAACTCATTCTAAGCAGAACATGATTATAAAAAACATTTTATTACTGATATACTATAGCTAGGCAGAGTGTTGGTATTCTCTCCCGGATCCAGCACTTACAGGAAAAAAATAAAACAGTTGTAAATATAAGAGATCTACATATTTTTATGGGACATATAAAAACTGAATGCTTGAAGCTGGTGGTGCATTTTCTGGCCCTGCTGATATGCCTTTAAATAGCTACCTAATGCAAAAGCCTCCTTAAAGCTACAGACACCATAATCATCTTGGCTAAGGTTAACCAAGATTAGTTTTAATCTGGGTATAGGAAATAGTTTCAAACACTAGTTTAAGGCTAATCCTACTTAGCCATGATTACAGTCTACAATGATACAGACATAATGTCATACAAAGACTGATGTTACAAAGAGAAATGCTGTTGTATGATAAAATAGAACATCTGTGTTTACTTTACACCTGGCAGTGAATGCTCAATTAGTATACCAAAATTTAACAGGCTAGCAATGAAATGGACAGGACAGACATAATATTTTCCCAAAATGTTATCAAACATCTGGCTGCTTTTCTTTAATAAATTGCAGCGGTAAATACACACTACCATTCATTTGACTTTTCATTGAGGGTTCTGAACCAAGAAGAAAAGAAAGTGAAGAACAATATGCAAATTGTATTTGGAAATCAGAAAATCTTTAAGCAAAGCCTGAAGCACCATAGATGAGTACATGCTCTGCATGCAGAAGATAACAGGTT